CGTGCAGCTTTATGCATGGTGGCTTGGAGCTGATAGGTCGGCAATTTAGGGCCTAGAGTACTTTCGAATAGGCCAAAAGTACGCTCAAAAAATGTTGGGGCAAAATCTTTGGTTGTACATAATCCACTTCTTCTCTTCACATTTTCTGGGTCCTACTACGTGTGTAGTAAGTGGGGGTTATTTGATGGATTGAATGTCATCATATCATCACATTCTCAGCTACTGCATACTCCGTCTTGGACCGAGGCTGTAATATTCATTCCGTGTTCAGCTTCTGCGTGAAAAAGAATCATGAAAGATCTTATGATTTAGCGTACCAAACATCGAAATGCTCAGCTTTGGTTCGGGGAGTTTAAGTATACCATCCGCGTACCAATCACCAGCCCTAATCGCCTTGGAACCGGCCCGGGTCCAGAGAATGAAGTGGATGAAGTGGGTGAAGCCCCGGTTTTTGCCCCTCTGGAGCCGCCAGGGGAAACCAGAAAAGCAGCATCCAGTCAGAGCCTTCAACTCCATGGAATGAAAGAGATGTCAATCCCAAACTTTAGATCCACTGTCATAAACCCAGCTATACAGTTAGTTTACCAGAGGATGGACACTTTTTCCCCTTTTCCATCCATTTCTGCCCCGTCGTTTCACCCGGTTTCTTTGTCACATCCCCCCGACCAACGGGAACGATCCCTTCACTTTCTTGTTCCACCTGTGGCGACGCAAGCCCCATCGGAATGCAGCACCCGGTGCCGCGGTGACGGGTAAGAAAAAACTATCAGCTGGAGCCACTGACCGATCGCGGAAGACATCCCCTTGCGATGATTCTCGCGCTATTGAAAGACCGGGCGGTCATGTGAGCGTCGTTTCGGCTGTTACTGACTGCTGAACTCTGCTGGAATTTAGCGTGGCATTTCTGTGTATGTACTGTATTTTGCAGATCCTCGATTCCCCACCCTTGCCTCCTCTCCGCTCGCCACATCTTGCGGATTTGCGGATTTGCGCCGCGTTCTCCTGTGCTGAAGATCCTTCTTTTCCACCGTCCTGGTCCTCGGGGCGGATACGCCGAGTATGCACAGTATGCATGTATGTGCGATTACTATACAGTAGTCCAAACTGAAGCTTGGGTCAGGGGTCTTTTTATTTTTCGCAATTCTTATGATCTTCGGACTCCGTGGTTTTCTTTGTTCTGTATCTCAGGGGCCAGGCTTGAGGTGGGCCCCCCTTTTGTGCCGCCTAACTTTTCGCGGATCCTGTACTTTGTTCCCGGGAGTTGACTCGTACTTTGTACGCTAGTCTAGTCGTACCTTTGGAACTCGTCTTTTTGCTTTGTGGTGCGGGGGCGAACCTTGACAGGATTCTGGACCCGAAGGTGATAAATTAGGCTCGTAGATGCATCCAAACTGCCCTTGCAGTGGGGTACTAGTCTATCTGGTACGTTTGTGCTTCGTACATTTGCTTGATGGCTCATTTGGCCCCCGCCCCCGGGGCCGCCTATATTGGAGCTTGAAGCGATGTGACACATATTCAGCCACAATGGAGTCTACTTGCCATGCACAATTTCAATACAATTTCAATACTTGATCGCAGTTTTTATTAACTCCGGTTCATAATATGATTTTGTAAATATTGCATTTATAAGTCTAGAGCATCTAAGGCGTCCGATTGGAGATTTACCACTGTTTGATATAAATCGATCCTTCATTGTTACTGGCTTTGCTTCCGATCCATGCACTGGTTTCTTCTGTGCAAATTGAAGTGGTAAATCCATGCATGTATATATCATACGATCGTTTCGGGATTTATTAAATATGTACTCGGTCCTTTTGAATTCAAGTTTACTGAGCAGATCGCAAACAATGCCATTGTCACTTGGCACCTATTGGAAATCCGTACCATTCAAGTTCCAGTCAGATGCTACAACGACCGTCAATCCTCCCCAAATTAGCTCTGTAACACCGTGACACTAATCTCATCCCCGATCTTGAAAAACTGTCAGCAACGCACGAGATCATCTCGGCATACAAAGGTCTAGACATGGGGCCACAGTATGCCAACATAAGGACATCCCTTATGCATACCATGTGTGGCCCCTCTTACAGAAGTACTAGTACGAATGGCCCATAAATCTATGTACCGTACTTTTGCCCCCAACTTGGGTCTCCAATTAACCGCCCGGCGTGATCACATACAGGATTCCCACCCACACAGATCACAGATGTGACAGTCGATCAGAAGACTTTTCAACTGTGACGAATGTTGCAAGGAACTGGGATCGTTCGCCAATCATCATAATAGTTGGGGAAATCCTTGGAGTTGGAAGTCGCACCATCTCAGCGACCTTGCTGAAATGAATTCCAAATTATCAAAGTTCATGATACATGGATTTTTCCTTCTCCAATACCCCAGTGTCAGCTGCATGTCATCTTGTCACTGTATCTTCTGAGTTTGGTAAATATGCACGTCCAATCATCTAATTATCTACTATTTTCCATCTGTCCCAGATCTTATTTCATCGGCGCATTATTCGTCACCTAATAACGGACTAGTATACATTCGGCCACAGTCCGGATACGTATACATACAATGTTGTCTTATAAACCTGGGCGTTTATTAAATGTCAGAAAATGATAATTAGACGCCTAGGAAATGCAAATTACGGTCATCTCGGCTTCAAACTGTTATTGGCCATAGATATATACAACGGGGTAGTATCTCGGGGCCGATGTCCCACTCAACCAAACTTTTTGAAGTACTGATCAAGTAAGCAGGGATTAAACTGCTCTAATTAGATCCGCGATCAATACCTACCCATCAGGCTCTAGTCGAGGAGATGATCGTTTTCAGCCAGGCTCACGAACAGGGATCTGTCAATGGTGTGTCCACAGTATACTTGCAAGCGTTAGCCCAACGCTAGCACAAGGTTCTTGCTGTGCGCGTCATTTTTTTATCCGAGAAAATTTTAATCTGGGGGGCCATTTGAAAAGACAGAGATCACAAAGGTACGCCACTCAAATCGGGCGCCAACAGGAACTTGTTGATCTCGATTCAGTATTATTGCCATTTAGGTTTCAATATGCGAAATGCCGGTATAAAAGCCTATTCGGCGGACTACATGCAGGTTCATTAGTACATGTCTCGGCCACTTTCGCTTTTACATCCTCCATTTATAAGCATAAGGCTCCTTTTTCTCAGGCGGATAAAGAAAAGCAATAAGCAAATCCCCCGGCAAGTGCCCGACGTCAGTGTCGAGCAAAGATCCACCGGTGCATAGGTTTTTGTTTGCGCCAGCGACGATCAGTGCATAAGCGTCGGACTTTTGCGGCCAGGAACAAGTCAATTGCAGGGCAAGCTATTGGTTGTCCGGATCGTCGATAGGTCACCCGCAAGCCACACCGGCTCCATGCAGCTTGAATATGGGCAGATTCCATCTTCAGGCTATGCCTAAGTTTGGCTGATCCAGACTCTCGATTCTAGCTAGCTTGATGGGGGCTGGGATCAATTAGCACCTAGTTGTTAATCGATTCGGTAATAAGCCTTTTGTTCAAGTTCTTAAGTTTGTGCTAGACTGGAAAGGCCTTCAGACACAGCTCATTCGAGTTCTATTATACAGTTGACAGTGCTGAGTCTCTAGCATCCATACACTATAAACTTGAGATACTACTCAGTTGCTATACTAGTCGGGCCCACGTACGAACATTTCAACTTTATATATAAAACCTTTGGAGATTTTGTCCTTTATATCTTAGTCTCACAGTTATTTATTCATACTAGTGCCTGCTGGAGTTTGTGCATTTTCAATAAGTCCAGCTAATTGAATCTAACTTCAAGTTGAAAGTCTCTCAGTTTCTCAAAAGCTACACTTTAGTGTATAAATTATATAACACTTGCAACCTTTCTCACCTTTCAAAAATAAGAATTGTTCATCGTGAAAGAAAATCTGTGAAATTCCTGTTCTTCTGCGCATTTTAAAAGCTCTATCATAATATATATTTGGTCTCAGAGATATCCGTTAACAAGCAACGCATACATACTATTTATACTATAGAGTATGAATTGAAACCAAAATCCACTCATTGATTGCACCGTTTTTGCCTATCCTTTCAATAGAATCACTTAGAATTCCGCGTAACTCAATATAAGAATCCGCATAAATAAACAATTATCGGCTCTTATAACTATAACTAATTCATACTTCATATGTTTCTTGGGGAGAAAGAATCCCCACCACAAACACCAGTCGACTATTCTCAGCTTATCGGTACGGGCGACGATAGCGCCCAGCGGGAAAAAACCGTTTTTCGACCGGCAGAAAACTAAGATACCAGTAATACACTAACAGCCGCCATACTTCAAGCTAGTAATATACTCAGATTGCTTTATACCACCACATCACGATTTCTGGTTTATATAGTTAGAAACGTACAATAAACGACACAATGACGATTCAATTACATTGCTATTATATCGCCATACGTATAGCTATAAAAATTTCTCCTTTTTCTTTTTCTTTTCCTTCTCCTTCTCCCTCTCCTTTTTCTTTTTCTTTTTCTTCTTCTTCTCCTTCTCCTTCTCCTTCTCCTTCTCCTTCTCCTTCTTCTACATCTACTCCTGCGCCTACCCCTATAGCTGTGATATCTTCTTTGAAGACTGGCTAGGTATGTAATTGTGTGTGCAACTTATAGTTAACTGGGGTTGCTAGGCTCTATATATTTTACTGTAGTATGGCCATGTATCAAGCTAATAAAGAGTTTACATTACATATAGCGGTCTGCTAGTCGGTAAATGTCGTCGCCCGTATATCGGCCACCCACATTGCTTATCGCGAACAAGGCGACCATGCAACCAAGCTTCCACAGCTTCAAGGATTGTCTACTCCGTTCATCATCCCACTTGAGGATACATCAATAATAAGCCCCAGTGACTAGCTCTACTTTAGAATTAGGGCTAGTGTTGCCGGAAAATCGGCTTACTTATAAATCTCGTGCTCCTGAAGTTTCGGGTTTCCTACCATGCCCATTCCAGCGACGGTCAGCTACGCGTTGGCCGTCATTGCAGCTCCTCCACCCGACGATCCTATTCTCCAATGTGATCGTCACTTTCGGGAACTCCTATTCAGTGACCCAAGTGAAGCTCTCTCGGCCGCGAATGATAATCTCCGCGTGTTCCCTTTCAAGGATGTGCACCCTCGCTGGCGCCGGCTCTACACCGACGCGTCTATCATGAAAGCATGCTTCATCATAATCAGTCGCTGCGGTCTGAGTAAAGAGGTACCATTTTCAGGAGAATACGCTCAAAACCCAGAACAGCTCGTTACAGAAGTCAATTCTGTGACTGACTCCATCCAGATCGGCTCACACGCCGAGTGGCTGGTGGATGTCATTCATCTCCTGGACTATGCATTGATCATGACAGGGGCCCCCTCACGCGAGAAGCTCGTAGAAGATCTTTTTTCTGCATTGCAAGATTCAACCGAGGTGGAAGAGGACTGGGAGGATTACCGAGATCTTAACGATCCTCCTGCAAAGCGCAGAAAGACCAAGCCGCCCATGTTTCCTCCCGCTTCTGCTCCTGAACCCAACATTGAACATCCTATTCCTCGGGTCTCAGCTCCTTCTTTCGAGTCCATCCAGCATCATATTGAGTCTTCACGTACTCCGCTCGTCATATCGGACGCAATGGATCACTGGCCTGCATTTTCTGCTCGCCCTTGGTCATCTCGTGATTATTGGTGGTCTCGTACTTTCAATGGACATCGCCTTGTGCCTGTGGAAGTGGGCAGATCGTACACAGATGAGGACTGGAGTCAAAATATCATGCAGTTCAGAGAATTCGTTGACAAGTTTCTTTGGGAGGGCAAGCTACGTCTTACCCGACCTAACCCCGACCAGTCTCCATCTGAAGAGTCTCATGAGATGGGTTATCTTGCCCAACATGATCTTCTTTCACAAATTCCGGCTCTGCGCAACGACATTGCCATCCCTGACTACTGTTATATTGACCCCCCAGGCCCCGAGCCAGGAACCCCAGTGTATCTGAGTCAACAGCGTGCACTCCAGGAAGCGAAGAATCCTTCATCGAATCAGAATGACATTTCTCCATCTGCCGCAAGTCCGACCTCTGAAAATGGGTCTACCATGGCAATCCCTAGTGATCCAATCATCAACACTTGGATCGGTCCCGCGTGGACTATCTCACCACTTCATCATGATTCTCACCACAATATTCTCGTCCAGGCAGTTGGTACGAAGTACATTCGGCTTTATTCGCCCCATACCCCTGCATCGCAGATCCATCCACGGGGTCAGGAATGGGTTGTATCCGATGAGGAAAGCGCCCCAGCTGGAGCAGAGCCATCCGGAAGGTTCATCGACATGTCTAATACTTCCAAGGTTGACATTGCTTCTATCGAACTTTCACCCGCTGAGGCAGAGCACTGGGAGGAACTCTGGCCTGGATTTCAAGAGGCCCCTTATGTTGAGACTATCTTACGTGAGGGCGAGTGTTTGTACATCCCTATTGGATGGTGGCACTATGTTCGTGGACTACGTGCTGGCATCAGTGTAAGCTTCTGGTGGGATCCGGCATCTTAGATTTGCATTTTCATTTGTCTCATTTTTACCTCACGACTTACGACATGTCGCATCTAGCGTTTATGGGTTTATTTTCATGCACAAGAAGGTGTTAGAGGTTTCGTGGTGCCGCATGTCGGCTCACTGTCATGGTTTCGTTCATGATTTTATTTGTTAGATTTGATCTTTAAAGACCCACGAGATACCACATGTTCAAGTAACGCTTTAATTTATGCAGCAGGTTACTGCTGAATTTTCCCCAATCTCTTCCAAGGTTGAGTGTACTCTACAGAGTGCGGCCAATACGTAGTGCCTGCCCGAAAGTTGGTTCAAGTCAAGAGGCGAATGCGCTGATAATCGATTCAGATGTCTAGTCTATATATTTGTTTAGGTCTCAAAGCTACTAACAGTGCGAGAATAGGTATGAAGCTAAAGGTAGATCAACCTGCTCCCAAGAATTGCAGCATGTAGTTCCTCAACTCCACCCTTCAACTAGCTCGCACAGCGTTTCCTCCCCACCTACATTCCCAGGAAAAACAACATATGGCACACCCCGATGACGAGAAGTAGATTCATCGCACCTCCACAGCGGAACACCAGGAGCAGCTTGACCAACGATCAATGCACGCTTGAAATTCAACCCCTTAGTAGCAGCGTCGGAAGAGGTGATACCGCCCTAAACAAGTAAGGAAGTATAAGCAACAATCATCTCCCCAAAGCAAGAACAGATCACATAATACGTACCTTAGCAATAATATATCGCGGGCGCACCTCAATCCGCTGCAAAACACTAACAAGCGCCTCAGCAACAACAGAGCCAATCTTCAACGACGAAAGCTCGTCTGCCCCGGTAATAAGTTTCCGACTCGTCATAACCAATGTATCTTTCCCGCTTGCCAAGTGCAATTCTGTCTCCTTGACAATTCGCGTGATGGTCTCCGACGCGGTACTAGGTGAGGATATGAGATCTTCAACCTTTATTTCAATTATAGCGAGTTGTGCTGATCCCGACGGACTGCGACGATCCGTTAGGACTTTCAATTGCGCTGTTGTCTTAGGAACATATGATCCTGCTATTATGAGACCTCCTGTTTCTCGGGGAGAGGGAAGATGGAGTTCCGTTGCGGTGATGGGGGCTTTGGAACGGATACCAAGTCTTGTTGAGACGAAGGCTGCACCTGTGCGGTAGAGGAAATGCTTTCCTTTGGATTCGGCTAGAGAGAAAAATAAAGAATGTTAGTTTACTTCGTGCTTGGACCAGCCAGATCAGATCAGAACCGGATAGAGAACAGGATAGAACAAACCGAGTAACAGCCCAGCCACAAAGACATGCATGTCTGATTCTGCAGCTGCATTGACAATAATCACCCCGTCTGCCGGGGCAGCAAGCAAATTAGCACAAACAGCATCTGGTCCTCCCTGCCGAATCTCAGAAATAGTAACAGAATGCATCTTCTCAACTGAGAACCTCCCCGGTGCCTTCTCCTGAACATAATCCCTCAAATTAGAACTCTTATACCCGAACGTAGCATCCTTAGCGAATTGAGTCTCCCCTGCTGGGACCAAATTATCCCCCTCCGCTACATAGTGTACATCGTCGATGGTAAATCGTCCACCCTGATAAAAGAACGGGGCCAGAACGAGTCCATCCGCAGCACCAAAAACAGCCGTCGCGACATCCGGTTCTAGCGGAAAGTGGCCGCGGAGCGTACTATCGCCGCGCAGCACAATGTCTACCTTTTTCCCGGTGGATTTGGCTGCAGAGAGAACATTGGTACATATTGTTTTGAGGAGTATTTCGGCTTCGTTGGGCGGGAGCGCACGCGAGTTTGTAAGGATGAAGAAGCCTAAGGAGTTGGTTTGAAATTCTGTTACTAGGGTTGGGATGTCCCAGACTGTGAGGACGTTGATGTCGTGGCAGGTTTGGGTGCCGGTGGGATCGTCGTCGAGAACGACGAGGCGGTTGATTGGTGAGGTTGCTAGGATTTGTGAGATTTGGTCTTGCGCGTCGATGGGGTACTCGGTGGGGAGATTGGAGAGGGTGCTCTCGCGCGGAAGAGGGGGGTATTGTTGTGGTTGCACCATTGTTTTAATGCTGTCAATAATGGTGTTCGATGCTTTTTTATTTATCAATTGAAGTCAACTCAAGGAGATTGAAATCGTTCAGTTGACCAGTGTTTAAGGAATTGTGATTCTCGAACCGCGGTGCGAGGTGTGCGGGGATGCGGGGAGACTAGGTCGGAGAGAATGCCGATGTATGTAGGCCCGCGGGATATCGCCAACCTTGGAAGGTGAGCTTCAAACCAAAATCTCAAGATATATCTTCGAAATATAATCTTTCGTTGTTTTAAGTGAACTTGCTACTAGTATAATCGAAAGTATCTGAGAAAAAAAGGCGTAGGCGATGCAAATAGATTTCATTCCTGGAGATTGAGGGCTATCAAATACTAGATGACAGAAAAAGTGACACACAAAAGTACCTCCAAACGCCAGTGTGCAAAGACTCAGATGCAATGATCATGGATAAACGATCATGAATGCAATAATAAAAATGAAATGCATGCACTCGCTGATTTCCATCAAAGTCAAGCTCACCATCCATAAAGACAAAACCCAGGTCCTTTTCCCCCTCCGATGCCTTGGAAACATGTAAATATTGTGAGATATCAGGTCGTATACTGCGTGAATGATGATGAGATTCGGTAAGACGAATGGAAAATTAGCCCACCACACTTCGGAAGCTCAGCGCTTCTAAGAAGCCACCAAGGTCATCCTTGGCCACCTCGACGACACAGTGTTCGAAGCTGTCGATTCGGACACGCGCATTGGTCTCCTGGACCACTTCTTGGAAGGCGATACCGAAGCGGTTGCGTAGTAGGTGTTTCTTGCTGTGTGGGTCTTCTTCGTCTTCAGATTCGGACTCCGACGACGACTCGGATTCTTCAGATTCTTCATCAATATCTTCTCCGTCCTCTCGTTCGGCGCGCTCGGCGGCGCGCTGAGTTCGACGCTCATCTTTCTCCTTTTGCTTTTTATCTTTGAGTTCCTTTTTCTTACGTCGCGCTTCTTGCCGCTTTGACATGGCCGCAAAGTCGACAACACCGCCACCACCTCCGGTGCCCACTACCACGTATAGATCCCGATCCTCATCTAGTCCAGCAAGGACAAGGGGAGTTCCAGCGGCTCGCTTTCGTCCAATCTTCACAGCGTCTCCCTTTTCACGCTCTTGTACCCGAATGGCTTCTGCAATCCACAAAGCTAGCTTAGTTAAAGCCCCAGGGTTGGTGAAAAGCTTCACATCAGGGCCGTCTTTGACAACTGCAATGCGAAAAGCTCTCAAATGTCGGATTTGGTGCTTTGATAGCAAGGAGGTACCAGTACGAAGAATGGCACGATGAAGATGTTGAGCTAGAGGCAATGCCTCCATAAGTAGGGTCGGCGACTCTGAAGTAAGCGAAAGAGCGTCATATGCGCTCCAAAAGCGAGGCAGTAAGCTAGCCTGATCGGATTCTCCAGGGGCACCACCATCTCCGGCATCATTGTTTGATCCCTGTGGCCGAGGGAGACGCTTGACATCCCAGGGAGCAGCGGCATCATGTGGGCCAACTTCAAGCATAGCACCTAGAATGACACCAATGTCCGTAGCAGATAGGCAGGCTTTCCAGCCCCAGCATCGAACAAAACCCCAGCCTTCACGCGAACTAGAATGCCCGGAAGGCTCTGGAGGAACTAAGCCGTCCAAGCCATACATTGGGGCATATTTGAGCAATCGTCCCCGAAGTACCCGCTTCAGCTCCATATCCATATGCGTATAGTATTGATGGCATTGAGTTAGACTGATACCCATTTTTGCGAGAAGTTTGTGAAGTCGTTTCCGGCCGTTTTCAGTCCATACATGAAGCCTTGGGGCAAGATAGGGACTGTGCAGCATGCTTTCGTAGAGAGACCAATGCCGAACGAGTAAGAACCGCGGTTCCGGAGAAAGACGAATTGTAGTGTCTGTCGGAGATCTGGCAGTTGTAGGAATGACACCATTGATTTCTCCCCTAATATCTCGATCTCGCTCCATGGGGTCTGGTGGATTGAGACGGTGCACTTCGTCTCGGAAGATTTGACGAATATGTTCTCCACGTTGTCCACCCCAACCTGCTGAACCTCCCGATTCCAAGGAATTGGAAATTCCCACGCCAGTCATGGACCGACCACTGAGTTCCAAGCTAGAAACGCCGACAATCGCAAGCCATAAAAGGTCATTATCTTCGCGGCCAAGTTCAGATGCTAGCGAGTAGACAAGAGAGGATATTGGCTCTGAATATGATGTTCCCGAAGCGTAGTAAGATTGTAGGACAATCTCGTGTTTTTTCTTAAGTCGAACCAAGCGTTGCTTTAGTGACCGTGCCGAGGGCTGATTTGTCTCCGCTGGGGATGGCGAATCGCTAGTAGGTGTTACGGAACGGGATGAATTAGATGAGTTGATGCCATTTCTCCTTCGCCGGCTTGGTGATGTGACAAATGAAGAGCCCTTCACTGTGTATTAGCATTGGAATGGTAGAGACGAATGAAGGTGAAATACATACCGAGTTGCTGCGTTTTCGCTGGCGCGGGGGTCCGTCTTCCTCATCGGAGTCGTCCTCGTCCTCACGGCCAGACCATGATTTTCGCTTTTTAGAGCCAGGAAGTGTCTCGTCATCATCATCCATACCACCCGTAGATCCATCGTCACTTTCATCATCCTCATCAATCTCGGGCATTTCCAAAAGAGCATAGTATGCCTCGCGTTCAGAGTTGAGATCCCCCTCGATGTCACCATCATCAAACACGACAATCCCACCATTTTTCGACGAGTAAGCAGGAGTAATACATCCTTTGTCTACTCCACGCCCACGTCGTCGTGCATTGCTATTAATCTCCGCCATTGCCGAGCTGGCACCAGCCTGTCCACCAAAGACATTACCCAGATTCCATGGTCGGCGCGCGTCAAAGACCCAAATCTCAACACCACCCATATCCTCCACCTCTTCGTCGGGATTGCTAAGCGCAAGAATCTCCGCCAAGTCGACTAGCCCACCAACGCCCAGACACACGACCACTCCTCCGCTCCCACCATTGGTAGTCTGCATTGGCTGGATCAGCTCCTGTCCAGCGCGTGCGAGGTCGCCATAACCGGCGACAGGTTGGATCTTATGCGGGATATAGTCGCGTTTTAATAATGCAGTAAGGATCCGGCAGGCACATAGCGCGTCGGGTTCGAGAGCAACGAGAATTAGGACCGGCGGGGAGAGCGGGTGATGAGATCGGAGAAGTTGGAGGTATAGGTGTGAGATGAGCTGGCGCGGAAGATACATGACCAGCTAAGGAGGTGGGTGGGAGATGAATGGGAGCATGAAGGATTATAAGAATACTGTAGCAGCGTCAACTCAAGCTCCAGGAAGATCAAGTGAATGGGTTATGATGTTATGGGGCACTTCCAAGTCTCTACTAGTAGAGTTAAACTAGCCCGGAAAGCGCGACGCGTCGGGGGCACGTGCCAGATTCCATCCGTCGCCGAGACAAAATCGAATTATTTCGTTTAATTAATTCCCCCTGCTTCGTCCATGCCTGAGAGGAATAGCGGGGATGGAGACTGCAGATTGCATATTTGGATTGGCACAGAATTAACTTAAAAAAAATTAAAGCAATAAAGGAACAAATAAAGGGTTGTACTATACAATATTATCGAGGTACTACAGTATGTACCTGCCCATGTGCGGTAGTATATTCAAGTTTTCGCGTACCCACACGTACATTTGGCTAAGTTCTCTATGTGCACCGGGCCGTCAAAGTTAAAAGAATAAACCTTACAAGCATATAGAGAGTTCCTGACAGATTCTCATTCATTCATAACATTAAACTATACCCAAGTTCTGAGGTTGATTGAAGATATGTGGTCGTGCATAGTCTTAAAGTACAATGGCTTTAATATTGGTATAGTAACCTGTTGCAATACTCAAGACAGCAACATTAACCCCAAGTAATTATATTCAGGCTTTTCAATGACCAATTAAACGAAATACAATCTTAACCATGTCAGACCATCCAGTGAATTCCAGAAAAGCTCGTACTTTACGCTAGTATACCTAGAGAATAGACTATATAGGTTTGGTTTACGGTCTGCACCATCTTGTTACAAACTTGAACCCCAATCCTGAAATCCTTGACCAAATGAGTATTGCTGGGAAAACTCATCCTCAAGCCCAGGGCTACTGAAGTCCGCAAGACCCGGCATAAACGACCCCAGCAAATAGCCCTCAATAGACGGGAAAGCCGCGGTCACATCTCCCCCAGGAAATGAGTCGAACAACTCCGATGGGTTAAAGTTATCAGGTGACGTTGACTGCTCGTAGTCCCGAACAGTCGGCCGTTGGGAATGAAGATATTCCATACTTGTGCTCTGTGGCATATGTGCGGAAGACTGGTATGTCCTTCGCTCCCGGACAGTCCATAGCTGTTTGAGCATCCGACTATAGCTGTGGCAGATATGCACTTCTGTGGAGGGGGCTTTTTCGAGGCAGAACATGAAGTCGCGTGCAAGGCTGGTCACCTCTTGACGTCGGTCGTGTGATTGAAATGCGCCGGCGCAGTCGGCTTTGTGGAGGAGGACGGCGGCGTAGACTCCATACCTAGATTCATGTCAGCGTAGATCGGCATCTAAATCCGTTTATCCATAGATTTCTGATGGACTATTTACAAGTAGTAACGTGATGGGAGATAACGTATGACCCGATGAGGATCCAAACCGTTTATGAGAGCGAGTAGATTCATAGCTGCGCTGATAGCATCAAAAATGTAGCGACCATCGGGGGACGCCATGATTCCATTCGATAACAGCCCTTCTAGCGAATGCTTACTTGGATGTTGCTGGGTTTTCGATTCTTGGGGGTCTGACGACCGCGTCAGGACAGCCTGGAAAGAAAATGCGTTCGTATAGAGAGAAATGTACTCGTACATGATAAGCAGAGTGCTCTTGATACTCGAAGACACCGCTAAACCCGACCAAGTCGAATGCCAAGCTGTCACGGCGATGCGAAAATCGTCGAGATACCGCGCATAATTACCTTCGTAGACCATTGCTAGTGTTCGTTCCTTGGAAGAGTAGAGGATAGCATGGGCATTGTGTAGAATCTGAACTAGCTCCATGGACGCCTGAAGAAGGGATGCATAATCTTCAGAACCATTCTCTGGACATGGCTGGAGAGTTGGGAAATCCCGAGCTGTAAATTTGGCAGCAAGCGAAGGGCCCCGTGACCAGAAGGACTGACCAAGTCGAACTGATATCTGCCTATCAGCCATGAATATATCTAGATATGTTACTATAGAGTGCTAGAATGCAAATTGTGAACGGCTACTAGGTACTCACACGCCCACAAAAGCCTATTTTGATCTGCTCGTTCTTTCGACTCACTACCCTTCTTATTTCGGAAGGCGCCTTGATCAAGACGCTGAAGGTAGCCGTGCCGTACAGCGAGACCAAGGAGGGACCAAGCCGTTCGGTCTTCGCTAAACAGATTCTTTGGTGTTCCCGAGTTTGTTTCCTGTACTTCAATATGGGGTAGCCATTCGGCTAGAATTAAAAGGCCCTCTACAGTTCTCGGCGTTTGTGTCCAAGAACGGGCAAGGAGGACGTCAACCAAGAGGCGTTGTATATGGTCCCAACAGTAGCGGTGAATAAGCGAATGTTGAGGATCGTCTCTTGATGCTATGGTTAGGATGGAGGTCAGAAGAAAACAGTCTGGTTTCTGAATCTTCACTGTGCTCGAGGAGCGTAGCAAATATGGTGGGATGATTGGACAGTACGGGTGGTAGTAGCGGGAATATCTAATCGATCCATGTTAGCCGTTGTCAGCTATATAACTATAATATGAATGACCAACTTGAGTAGCAGCTCGGAAACGATGCTTGGCCGCAGTATACCCCTTTGAACAAGCTCATAATCATCAAAAATCGTGACTGTAGACTGAGTATGCAGTTGACTTTGTTGTGACAGACTCGAGGTCGTATCCATACTACCGTAAACCACAGGATCCGTTGGGGCATTTGGGCTCTTGGACGAATGGCGCGCTGGCGGCTGATCGCCCGAAAACGCCAGAATATGTAGAGCGTCAGAGGGATTTCTGAGCTCCATTGCTAATAGATCGCCGGAATCATTTCTCGAAACGCTTCTTCCGTCGTCGGGGGACTCTGCCTCTATTGGAATGGAAATATTCTCTGTATATGTGTGGGCAGTGTCATCAACGTTCGCAGCAGCCGTCTGTGATCCAGTTCGGTAGTGCCGAAAGTTTCCCCCACGGCGTGTCTTGGTGAGAACGCAATCACTTCCTGACTCGTGACATGCGACACATGGAGCCTTCTTGGGCTCTCCGACTCCGTCACTGGAAATGGTGTGAGTAGTGGAAAGGTCTGTGTGCAAAAAGGTGGAGTCTCACAGGTTACATCTGGTCTTGCGTCGGCGACACCGTAAACACGCACGGTAAGATCTTTTACCAGTGCCTGGTGTCATGGCCAATTGTGTTTATAGATCTCGGGTCGGCAATGGATTGTATAGTGCGGTTCTTAAGTTTAGGTGCTCGGTTGTAGTCGGTAGAGGTTTCCGAATAGAGAAAGGTGGGGCGTGACACTGTACCAAGAATGAATCCATGGAAGCGGGGAAATGGCAGATCCTCTCTGGAGGCCCGGTAGAGTTGTTTATTGACCTTAGAATTCTAACTCATAAACATTTGATTTAAAGATTTAGGTATTCTAGGGCTACTAGTAATACTAAGTAAGATCCGATGTATCAAATTAGTGAAATACCATGGAGATTAGGCATATACCATTTCTCCACCGTTCTCGTATCGTTAAGACTATGGTAATATTTCGTTATTCTAACCTTCAAATGCTGGGATAGCCGACGATACGATATCGGGAATAGTTCTACCTCTCCAATGGGGTATTATACATCCACGGCCCAGAACCTCCAGCACCTCAAGGAAGACCCATGCGTTTGTTGCTTTTCTCGTTCAAGCCCCATGCCAAACTACTATCATCATGAACAGTCGCTCGCCTCATATCTCTCCGGTACTTGGTGACAAATTCACCACTAACAGCACGATGCATGGTACATGTGTTATCCCACACAATCATATCACCAGGATCATTCCACTGGACGTTAATGACGTATTGATCCTGGGTTGCATGATCGAACAGTCTATCCAGAATAGACTGGGATTCCTCAGACGAAACCCCTTCAAGCGAATGAATATGCTTCGCCAGGTAGATCGTGGGGATTCCGGTGCGTTCGTGCACCTGCAGCAGCCAGTGGCGACTCATGAAATGGTCCGAGGGCTCCACATCTCTGAAGCACTCGGGAGCAGCCATTTTCTTGGAGTGTAGCAGTGAGTGGCGAGCAATGAAATTCTTCTCATGCAGGAAATTTTTAAATTCAGGATCAAGGTCCCGGTAAGCAGCCCGCATGTCAGCAAAGGCTGTCGAGCCACCTGTGCCAAGGGGAGGAAGTTCATGGGCAAGTAGCAAGGAGTAGCCAGCTCGCCGAGGGTTGAAGCTGGAGTCAGTATGAAAGAGAGAATTACCCTGGATGGGTCAGACTACATTTGCACCTTTTAATATGTCAGTCAATTGCTTGGAATAACATACCTTGTTCGCCTCGCCACGAGGACTGCTCAAATCGACAATTGAGCCATCGATATCAATGTTTCCAACGTCGAATAATTCGTTATATTTCAAACGGTGTACACGACCGGCCGTGTTATAAGGAGTTACATCGTCGAGATCGCCAAACTTCTTAGCCAGCTCGAGATGAGTCTCGTCGTCAAGCTTTGTCTTTCGTACCACTGCAAATCCATGCTGCACATGAGCTTAGTACCATTTCTTTCCGTTCTTGTGCTTCAAGCACCTACCCTTTTTACTGCGTCCTCAATAAATCGATATCCCACGTCGGTCACTCCGTTGGAAAAATCCAGTCCAGTGATTTCCGCCCCAAACCCGTTCTGAATCACCCTCAGCGAAGGGGTTAGGCCGTGTGTGGATATGGCTTCAGTGATCGTGGTAGACATTATGAAGTCAACTCAATTTTGAACTTGTGGGAAGGAAAGTTTCTTTGAGGATTTCTTTGAATAGTATTGTGTTGGTGCGAAATCTTCTAAAAAAAACCGCATTCTTGTACCCTGTCGTGGGCTGTTCGGATCGTTGAACAGACATCTTGGATAGGAAGCCAATTCCGTCCATTGCCGATAAACTTTATCTCTTTCGTCTTGTTATATCGGAAGCTTCCACATCACGTTAGTGCAATATAGAGTATTCATCGTAGCGCGAAAATCGTTGTGGATTGGGAATGGCCGGATTACCTCAAGTCGGCGTTGGGGACCCATCGGCTGTAGTCGGCTGCCGTATCGGCAAGAGTAGGCAGCATGTCCGCTCAGCTATAATCAACCATCATCGAGCGAGTTTCGGGCTCCTGAAATAGTGTGAGTGACTGACCCAGCCCGTACCACGACAATGCTTCTGTTCATATAATTGATTCGTTGTTACTCGGCACACCGGTATATAGGAGCTAGAGGTAAGTACAGACTTGCAGGAGAATTGTTCTCCCAATGGTGCCGAACAATGTAGCCTCACTTACTGTACCAACCCGAATGAGATATTTTCTCGCGTGTACTATCTCCTGCACAGTTTACACTAATTGTTCGTATTTCTCAAAGTTGCTCTAGCCGTGTGAGTACTTGCTCCGTACGAATTGGCCACTTTTGATACAGTAGTCAAGCAATTAGTCGTATTCTCTATGTTCGGCTTCGAAGAGAGGGCTAGGGCCAACAAAAATGCGACAATCCCGTGAAAAAGAAATTTGATGTTCGTAGACGTCGGTGCAGATGCATCCCATTGATCAAAAAAGAAATACTCTATCCCACGAAGTATAGTATAGACTCAAGGGTGAAATTATTTCTCTAAACCTAGTCCAAAGAGACCCGATGATGATCGTGTGGGGTACGATGATCAGCCGAAAGTTCGGCTCTGTGACTCGACAACCCACTTTTGAAGCGTGGTTTAGGCCATGGATTTCGTGATTGATTCCTACAGTCTGCAATAACGGCGTGGGTAAATAGTTGAGTCTAGATCGAGAATTCAACCAGTAAAGAATCTTATCTAGTAAATGGACACATAATGAATGCGGCTTTTCCCCGGTCAATCTTTTAGCCCGATTATACGGAGTACATGTGCAGCGGATCAGGCGTTGCGTACACAGCCCCGCACATGTGCATCGTATATCGTATGGAATACTAGTAAACAGAAGGCAAAATTTCTCCGGGCGCTCTCCGAGCTACACAGAATTACGTTAATTTCGACGCGTTACCCCATAGGATAGCTCTAGTACCCCGCACATCTTGTTATCAGTGTGACTTTAATTAAGGCATAAGCTTTGTGGCCAATTGCGTGATTTTCGATCCCGATTCTTCGGGATAGGTATACACTACATATAGCAGAGTATCGGTGCTATACAAAGCTATAAAGATCAAGTTTAATCCATATTACATTTGGATTTATACCTTGTTTTATACTATTAGTGTCATATTTCACCATGGCTCCCGTTCCAGGCGAATCACTACCCGTTCGTTCCGCGGCCGAGAAAGGCCAGCCCCAATACCCTGCTCCTCTAAAAGCAAGTGGTGCCTTGGATCAATTTGAATTCGAAGAAACCACTCCTGTAATTGGTCGCGAATACCCAACTCTAAACATCGTCGATGACCTCCTGAATGCCCCAAATGCAGATGAGCTGGTGCGCGACCTTGCCATCACAAGTAAATAACACCTAAGAACCTTGATCATTCCAATACTACAAATGAGACTAATTAGCCAACGCAGTCTCCCAACGAGGCGTCGTCTTCTTCCGCTCCCAAAACAACCTCACCGATACTTTCCAAAAACAACTCGTCCACCGGCTAGGCCAATTAAGCGGCAAACCAGCCGACTCAACCCTCCACATCCACCCAGTCCTAAACAACACGAACGAATTCGGCGTCGACGACGCCCAAGTCAGTACCATCAGCTCTATCTCCCGTAAAAAGATGCACAACCATGACGAACAGCGCAATAAACGTCGCTACGACTCCGCCCGCTGGCACTCTGATATCCAATTTGAGCCCGCACCCGCCGACTACACCTCTCTCCGATTAACTCAGCTCCCCAAGACAGGTGGAGATACCCTCTGGGCCTCGGGGTATGAAATGTACGATCGATTCTCGAAACCGTATCAGAAATTCTTCGAGGGTTTGACGGCTACTTATCGCGGGGACGGCTTTTTGAAAGCTGCCGATGCTGATCCGGAGAAGGTCTTTATTCATGCCGAGCCGAGAGGAAATCCGCTTAATATTGGGAAGGCACTGGAGACGGTTCATCCTATTGTGAGGACGAATCCTGTGACGGGGTGGAAGAGCATTTATGCTGTTGGATCGTTTCCGAAGCAGATTAATGAGCTTAATCCCGAAGAGTCGGATGAACTTTTGAAGAAGTTTTATAGTACTATTACGGAGAATCATGATCTCACTGTACGTTTCAAGTGGAGGAATCCGAATGATTTTGGTAAGTCTTGTGTGTGTGATTTACTTGCATATCGATTGCTAATTGTTTTTTTCTTTTCCCTTCTTTTTAGCTATTTGGGATAACCGTTCTGCTTTCCATACTGCTACGTTTGATTATGAAGGTCTTGGCGACCGATTTGGTCACCGCGCAGTTGGTATTGGAGAGAAGCCTTACCTTGATCCTAACAGTACCTCGCGATCAGAAGCCTTGGCTGCCGAGGGCAACTAGGCCGTTGGGGAATGGAGATAGTACGGTTCAAGGCTAGATGGGAGTTGTGCATCGACACTTAGCTATAATACCAGATGTCTTTGCGAAAATTGAACAAATTCGCATCACATAAAAATGTTTTCTTTCTAGACAATTGTGTCTTAGGATCCTTTTTATGATCTACGAGTTGTAGCCATTGAGCCTCGTGGTCATTCAAATTCGTAATTTTATGTTCACATCTACCAAGCTAACAATGCTTAGCACATAAAAAATTCTCGGCTATTTTTCACCTGATCTATAATGCGTCAAATTGTCCGCTCAACACTGTGGCGCTGACCAGTGAATGGTAATCGCCTGGTATCCTGCCAGTCGATGGGACATGTCACCGAGCGCGCATCGAGACAACGCAACCTCGAATAGCAGCAGGCAACTGCTGAAGCCCGGATATAGGGTTTTCATGAAGAAGTGGTTCCTCAACCGGTTTATTTACTACCAAGTCTGCGCTCGGTCTTGCTGCGCTCCTGGTCCCTCACCGCAGCAATCTCATCCTTGGAAGCATTGACAGCGATATGAACCTGGTTGAAGGGGTTCTCCTCGCTCTTCTCAAACTCCTTTCGGCAGACATCCATACGCTGTTGTCGTCGCAAACCAGGGTTCTCCTCCTCAATCTCCGGTAGTCGTCGAGCCTCGAACGCAGCATAGGCGGCCTTGAATCGTCTCTCGGGGTGTTTCTCGACCTTCGATGTATCCTTGCTCGTCAAAGAAAGAGCATCAAGCGCATTGTCGATACCGGTGGCGTTTAGAGCCGATGCCTTCTTGTTACCGGGCTCATCATCAAGCTGTGACAGGTCAAGGCCGCGGGTCTTCTTTTGTGCGGTCTTGGCTCCGGCGCCCTTAGCCTTGGAAGGCTGAGAAGCTTCTTCTTCAGCGAGCATGGCATCACGCTCAGCCTTCTTGCGAGCGGCTTCTTGTTTCTTGGCTTCGGCGTCGTCCCTGTACAGCGAAGCCGATGTTAGTTTTTTAGTTTTTTTAACTTCAGACTGCAATGGATAACAACGATCAGAACCTGAACCTACTTCTTGGCATTGCTCTTTGATCCCTTGCCCCATTGCTTTTCCTCCTCGACAGAGCGCTTCTGGTCCTCGGCGGCCTTCTTGGAGTTGGCAGCATCGGCTTTCTATGACGTTGTTAGTATGCTTGGGCGCATTGTGGCAATGATGGCGGGGGCGGGGCTCTGTTGATACTCACGCGAGCGTTGCCGGCTGCCTTCTTAGAGTTCTCTCCTCCTGCTTTCTTGCCGCCCATTTTGCTTGGTGATGTACTGGTAAATTGTAGTACAAGTCCGAGTAAATGAGCGAAGTATGAAGAAGAAGAAAAGTGGATTGCTGGTTGATGAGCTGATCCGCCTGACGATTATGCCGATGCCGAAGCGGGCGGTGTCCCTGTTAGTAATCTATATAGCTTCAGTTCATATTTCAAGCTTGTGCTCATTAATTGGAGCTAATGGAAACTTTTGTTTGAATAGAAACGAGAGGGTCAATGGAGAAAGAAGTCAAAATAAAAAATTTCCACTTTTTGCCATTTTTTCACCTCAAATTTCTAGGTCTGCAGGGCTTAGTTCACCCCACCCTATAGTTATAGTGAGCGATAACAGCCTTATTATTGACGCCTGATAAACGAGGTGTCAATCCCGAAAGCATCATTTGTCATCATTTAACTCCTCGCGGCGCTTCAGCTCGCTGTCGTGACTTGATACTCAACAATCATCTTTTACTGTAACAATGACCTAGAAGAGCTTGCGATAATCCGCTGAACTGATAATTCTGGTGATTTGGCTCTGCCGACCACGACATATTTCAACCTGATATCCTCAAAATTGCCAGCGGAGCTGGTATCGTCCCTCCTTTCCAGACTATGATCTAGCTCCTCCGTCCACCACAATGATATCGCTGGTTTCCCGCTCCTTGCAGCTCCTGCTGCTACTCCTCATTGCCTGCGCAGCCACCGCCGAACACACCTCCAACTGGGCGGTCCTGGTCTCCACCTCAAGATTCTGGTTCAACTACCGTCACCTCGCCAATGTCTTGTCCCTATACCGAACCGTCAAGCGGCTCGGCATTCCCGACTCACAGATCATTCTCATGTTACCCGATGACATGGCGTGCAACCCTCGAAACGCCTTCCCCGGAACCGTCTATAGTAACGCGGATCGCGCTGTCGATCTCTATGGCGACAATATTGAGGTGGACTACAGGGGCTACGAAGTAACTGTGGAGAACTTTATTCGCCTTTTGACCGACCGACTCGACGAAGATGTTCCACGGAGCAAGAGGCTCGGCTCTGATGCTGGTAGCAATGTGCTTGTTTATATGACTGGGCATGGGGGTGATCAATTCTTAAAATTCCAGGATGCGGAGGAGATCGGCGCGTGGGATCTGGCAGACGCTTTTGGTCAGATGTGGGAGAAGAAGCGGTACCATGAATTGCTCTTCATGATCGATACTTGCCAGGCAAACACTATGTATACGCACTTTTATTCCCCTAATATTGTTGCGACGGGATCCAGTGAGCTTGATCAGTCTTCGTACTCGCATCACGCAGACAACGATGTTGGGGTTGCGGTGATTGATCGATGGACTTATTATGTGCTTGAATTCCTCGAGACTCAAGTGACAAGTGCCAATTCAAAGCTGAATCTCGGTGATCTGTTTGATTCGTATGACGAATCTAAAATTCATTCGCAGCCCGGCGTGCGTTGGGATCTGTTCCCTGGCGGAGAACCAGAAGGTCGTCTCCGAACCGTTGTGGATTTCTTCGGTAATGTCCAGAATGTTGAGGTTGAGAACGCCAATGCAACAGACCCAGGCTCTCTCAAAGAAGACCTGGCTGAGATTGCGAAGTTGGTTGAGAAATGGCAAAAGCGTGATGAAGAATACTCTGCTATTCTTAACAACTCTACCCAGCAAACAGACAACAGAGCTTCGTCTTCGGTGCATCTGAGCCAAAAGAAGACTGTTGGCCCCACACGTATGACCGATGAGAGCAGCTGGGGCAAGCGCCTAGTGGGACTATCTGTAATTGGAGCATGCACTGCAATCTGGGTGGCTGGTTCGTATTTGGGTCGCTGATTCCTTTATTTATCACTGTACATAGCATTTGATTGGAGCTCGGCGTTTTAGCGCAAATTTGATGGGGATATCCACCGTTTAATATACAAACTTTCTTTGTCGTTTTTAACTATTCGGAAAGTGCCACTTATTGATTGGTGGTATATAAATCTGCAACTGCCCATCTATCTATAGGTAGGGAGCAAGATATGTCTAAGACCCCGTCCTAGCACGTTCCGATGTCCTTATATCCTACCCAAGGGGCCTGAGATTGGAAACAGCCCGTTCTCCACCTACCAGTATATGGATATATTGGAATATGTGTGTATACTACTACCAACTTAACCTCCCTTATCTATCGCTTACCTACTACTCAGGCTGCTTAGTACTACCTACCGCTCATTTTGTGTCATTGTCTAATAGGTAGTAAAACGAGTGGTATACAACATCATGATATACTAGTATAGCACACCTGGGCAACTTATCCGTATATACTACATGTACTCGTTCAACTTAGTGCAGTGGCATACTATGACATCTTACAGCCTGGGGCGAAAGGCGCAAGTATCGGTACAGGCCTAGCATGTCTAGCTCTCCTGATGCCTAATGGATGTGTGTATGATGTTTCATTCGAGGCTGAGTACTATGCACCTGGGCTAAGGTACAACATCTTGGGTGCTTATAAAGCTCGCAGAAGTTCTCATCGTGACGGAATCGGAGGCTCGGTCATGATATCAACATTCACCGAGAGAACAGTATATATATAGGTGACCTTAGCAATGGTGTTGAGGATCCCCCTGCTTAGCGAAAGCGTACGCACGGGTCTCCTCCTGCGGCGACTCCTTCTAAGAAGAAGTCCCGCGGTATAAGTGTCACACCTTCGAACTCGCCAGTCAAACCGTCGATTGAGGTAAAATCATCTCCCGCAAAGGCTTCATCCGTTGCGTCTCTTCAAAGCCTGCACCGGCGGCAGAGGTTACTGACTATCAGGAACGTATTGGGTGCCTAATCTGGCTTATGGTTTCTACTTCGCCTGTCAAATGTCGAAGCTGGCTCGGTATGCCCATAACCCTGATAAGGTACATTTTGAGGCTGTCAAGCGTGTCTTTCGATACCTTAAAGACACCAAGAGTCTCGCGATCAGTTTCTCTAAGCTGGGAGACCCACTATGTGGCTTCGTGGATTCGGATTGGGCTGGTAGGCAGAAGCATGCCTTACAACGTCTGGCTTCGTCTTTAAACTCAACGGAGGCCCTATATATTGGGCTTCAAAGAGGCAACCGGTAGTGGCCCTTTCTTCCACAGAGGCTGAGTATGTTGCTATGTCTTTGAAGAGGTCCATTACCCCTCAAATCCCCTGTGTTTACTATGGGCTACAACTGGCGAATGAGATGTGCTTCCGAGTGGGTTGTTTGACAAGGGTTTTTCCTGTACAGTATCGTATAACAATACTGGCCTTATGATTGGAGATCAATATCCGACTGCATGCGTATACGAAACCACACTGACATAAGAACCGTACCCCGAATCAGCATGACAAGAAAACAAATTGGCAGGTCTCTCAAAAGACAAGTTAAAAGCTTATCCATATAATTATTATTTATTATACAACTATGACAGCGTTCGAGCCTTCAATATCGACGCTATCCAGGGTAACGAAGCAGATATCGTTATCTTTGATTATGTGCGTACCGGGAAGCAGCACGGTTTCATGGGTGCTTTCCGCCGTTTAAACGTTGCATGTAGCCGTGGTAGATTCGGTTTCTACCTAGTTTATTACCATCACCAATACCACCGAAGATCAGCCGATGCAGCAATTGCTCTGCGATGCCATCGCGGCATGGTTACATTGAAAGATGGCTGGTTCCAGTTCCTGGAAGATAAGCTCAAGCCTGACCGATCTGCTTGTCTGAACGAGCTTGATCATGCCTCCTTTGGTTGGCAACAAGTCCGCCTCGGCAGCGAGCGCATATCTTCAATGTGGTGCGTCTCATGAAGTCGCTCGGCACCTATTCAGAATATGGTCAAGTCCTAAGAGCCCTAGATACTTTCGACCCTGGCATGGCTATCCAGTTACAGCCCCCATTAGCAACAACTTCCGAACTGGTCACCCTCCTGGACACGTTCGAACGCTTCTGGGTTCCCCAGTCCAAAAATCGTCAGTCACAACAGAGCACCCGCTCTGGCACCAACTCCAATTCAACCGGTCCTCAACTTTCAGAGCCGCCTGCAAGAAATCACTTTACGCGTGCAAGGCCCCTATCAACAGTTCCACCTGCGGCAGTGGAGACGGGGCCATGAGACTTATTGTGAACCCCATAGATTCTCAAGCATGGCAATTCTTCAGCTGAATTAGTGTTTGGTAGCGTTTTATTGCTACAGGGTCCTAGTTTTACACTAGTAGGTGCGGAAATATAATTTCAGATAATTCATCTTCTTTTTCTTTATCTATCCTGTGTAGATATACGGGAATATTGAGGTTCGATTGGATTTTATCCCAAGCTGCTGTCCACTCATACGATGACTTCTTAATCCCTGTGTATACCTTGTCGATAAGGTGATCGGCATTGTTATGGTCTAGATAGATTAGAAAGTGCCAGCGGAATAACTCTTCAATCTCCTCCACCTTCGGGATAACATTCCGCTCAACATGCCCTGCTGCTTCATGTTGATTGCGTGACCGATAGACTCGCTTCCGTTTTCGATTAGCTTGGAACTGGGCTAGAGTATTCAAGGATTCAGATTGTGATTTCCAGTCTGGTACTTTCTTCAACTGGTTGTATCTCATCAACGTTGGTAGCGATCTCAGTCTCTATTGACTGGAGAAGGGGATCCACTATCTGCCCTTGAGTCATACTAGTTGAAGTCTGTGATTGATGTTGTTGAGATAGACCCATGTACCAGTCTCTGTGTCTTGGAGACTCTTGCAGTAGTACTCTCACGTTCCTAGATACAATATCCTTTAGTCTGATTCCAAAGTCCTCTCTCATTGATATCCAGTACATACTGAGAAAATAACAGTTGAGAAATTTGGTGGATCAGGATCTTCGGGATTAAGTGCCCCATTCAAGTTGTTCAGATCCATGGAATAAATAATAGAAAGGAAGAAAGAAGAAAAAGATGGGACCCGGGAAGGAGGAATATTGAAGTTGTAACAGGCACCAAAAGTCATACAAGGCAGCCTAGAGGTCAATAAATAGCACAGATCAATATCTATTGATGCCTATATTTTATTTTCCGTTTATCTTTTCATTTGTCTTTCTGATTGTCTTTCCACCTGCCTTTCAATCTATGTAGAGCTTACAGTGTAGATAGTGGTGTGTAGGCGGCAAGCTATACTATGACTAAGGAGCTGAATTTCCTCCCAGCCTAAAGGTACCTTGAATGATTTGATCGATTCACATTGATTTACAAAAAAAACATTTATTTCTCTAGGAGTAAAAATATGTCATACTCTACAGAAGTTTAATTTGTGGAGATGGTTCATTTCACTCATGAACGAGTTCCTGTTATAGTTACAGCCGAGATACCTCAATGACGTCAAACTATCCACCCGCGTCAAACCCAGCCAGTCACTGAACAGCCAGCTAAGAACCAAAATTTGCACCAAGCTAAAGAATCCCAAATGGTCGAGCTATAAGCTAAAAAGTGGTTCGCCATGAATGTTGAACCATAACTGAGAAGACATGACGCCACCAATGCAGTTTCTCGGCTGCAAGGCCGTATATGCATTTAATCCGGAACCTATCGCATCATCTTTGTCAAAATGACCGAAACGATTCATATTGATAACGCCGCTGGGCAATTTTTGGACTTGCCCTGAGACAATGATGCCTGAGCCAAATCAATTTACTTCGCCTGCTCACATATTTCTCGAAGAAGAAGTCTACCGACTCGGCACTTCCCCTGGCCTCCGATCCCTTCCGCCGGGACCCTCACGCGACTTTGTTGTGATGAGCTGGGGCCCAATCATCTATCGAACATGCTATAAGTCTGACACAAAACACCTCTTACCAAATTTCCTACGCTATTTGAACGATGCGATTAGCAGATCGTTAGGCCAAACCCTGACAGGCTCCGAGGAACAACTCCAAATTTTGATCAAAACCTACTCGTCAAAACTATTCAGTGCTCACGAACATTATGCAGACCTTAACGAAGATGGAGTTCGTCAGGCATTTCATGATTACAAAGTGACATTATCTATTCCGGCGACAGAACTCCCGAGCAGGCTCCGCGCATGCTTGATGGTTGATGATGCGGTGTTTTCGCAATTAAAAGCTATTTCGGATCTGTGCAGCACTATGGGGAAGGATATGGATCTTTCTCGGTGTTGGGTGAAAGTTGTTGAAGATAATTTTCCCGATTTGAGGCTTGGGGAACGGCCATATGTTGTTAAATCTACGAAGGACAAATTTGACGGAGAAGACGATTTTCGAGGTAATTATCAGGGGTGGACTACGGTGGGGCTTTCGGCTCTTGTTGAAGTTTTTGATGGGATGAGACAAATGAAAAATTTGGTGGAATATCATCGTGAAGGACGAGTGTATCTTGGACGTGGAGAATGGAGTAGTATGGACTTCTTATAAGATGTACAATATTTGATATCCCAGGATTTAAAGTGATAGACACCATATAACATACGGGGCTTTTATCTCTAGCTTGCTTCTCTTTTCTTTCCCACTGTTCAAGGGCAGTATACATGTTCTAAGATCATGCTTGAATCGATTTGATTGGTCAGTTTGAGGTCAGTCACATGCTGATAACCACCTGGAATCTTATCGTTGCTTATCAATCAATTTCTCGATCTGTCAATCTTCACCTTTCTACTTTTATCTCGTTTCGTTGCAGAACAGGTAGCTGGGTGGGGATTCGTTTCAATGGATGCTTTCTTGTCAAGAAAAAAGCCAAGACTGTCACGGACGCAGCCGGAGGACGAAACAGTGAAGCGATCTGACGGATTAGAGACAACAGCTTCTGATGGTGAAGAGTCAACAGATATCAAGTTGGCTATTCTGATATCTCTGCATCCAAACGTCAAACAAGACGAATTACTCGACATCCTTGTATCATGTGATGGGTCAGTCGAAAGTGCGTCTTCCATACTGTCATCTCAAAGTCTCACAGCATATACCACCCCAAAGAAGCGGCCAGCTGCGAGTTCGTTCCTCGGTATTCAGACATCCCTGTCGTCTCACGTCTTGACGAAATCCGAAGATGGATCTCTCATGCCTCTCAAAGAAATAAAACCTTTGGTGCCAAAGAAAGGAAAGACAATACATCTTTATGCGCCGCAGGATATTGCAGCAAACACCCCTTGTACTATCATCCACAACTTCCTTCCACCAGAAGAGGCCAATACACTTCTCAAAGAACTATTGGAAGAGTCAGAATATTTTTCGAGATACGAATTCCAGCTCTTCAGTCGTACAGTTCAGAGTCCCCATACGGCATGCATATATGTTTCAACGCCTGAGGAATACAAACAGCAGACATCCGAATACACGTACGGCGGCACATATCGAGCAAATGTACGACAAGCACCATCGAATCTACGTGCAGCCTCGGGAAAAGTCCAACGCACCGTAAACGAGGAAATTCAAAAACGTATCCGCGATGTCTACCCGGACGGCAAGAAACTGAAATATCAGTCACCAAAGCCGTGGCGTCCGAACGCAGCTTTTGTGAATTGCTACGATGGGCCAGCTGAAAGTGTGGGGTACCATGCGGACGAATTGACATATCTAGGTCCACACCCGGTGATTGGTAGCCTTAGCTTAGGCGTGGAACGGGAATTCCGCATTCGCCGAATTATACCTCGAGATGAAGAGGAAGAGAACGATGATCAGCAAAATGGCTCCCCATCCGAAAAACCCAAAATCGCCAAGCCATCTTCTGCCCATGCGGATGCTCAGGGGCAGATCTCTATACACCTACCTCATAATTCTCTTCTCATAATGCACGCAGAGATGCAAGAGGAATGGAAGCACGCAATTAATCCTGTTCAAACCATCTCACCACATCCAATCTCTGGAAATTGCCGCATTAATATAACATATCGTTGGTACCGCGATACCCTGCATCCACGATATACACCACGATGTCGTTGTGGGGCACATGCAATTCTGCGATGCTCGCAGCGGAAACACGAGTCTCGCGGCAGATATATGTGGATGTGCTATACTGGGTACGCGCCGGGGAAAGAGGGTTGCTCATTTTTCCAGTGGGCCGAGTTTGATGAGGACGGCGATCCTGTATGGAGCCATCATGATAAACAGAACCAGAATGCTGCACCGGCACTAACCAATTTCTCGGCATCCCAATCATCTCAATAATTGTTTTTTTTCTTTTCTATGTGGCCGAGAGTATAATATCCACGTGGCGTTTTAAGGTCAGAATCTCCGAATAAACAGAAAATCAGGAGCTACCTGCGTTTTCTACTACAGTTTGATCGCTTGTTTATCTGAGAGGAACAATGTACCTCAGCACGGCAGTACTGTATCCAGAATTCTCAAATCTATTTTGAGATAGACGATGTTACAATATTGCACTGCATCGGGATTTTCGCAACAAGGCTTCACAGACTCACTTCCCACGACTTGACTTGGCAGGCCTATGATTTCCTCATAGTTTCCCCATAAGAACCCCGCATCTGGTCCTCCTCAAAACCGGGCCCAAAATTGAGCAAAAGGCGGATGATTCCGCATCCATCCCGATCTAAAGACCAATAAAGTTAGTCCGCCCTGCGGGGTAGCCGAGCCTCTGACTGGCTGCTGTGTAACAGAGCACCGCAGCCAATTCCGCCCCCCCAACAAGTTACGAGTCAGATTCGGTCAGTATTGGCGAGCCTGAAATCCAATTAGAGTTTCTCGATTTCGGCTGATCACCCTAGTACGCTTAGATCTAACCAGGTGCGGAATTACCCACCGCTCACTGTGTAATGTTAGGAGGCCAAGAGGGCTGGAGAGGGGTGAGATGCACGGGACATGTAGGTGTGATGTTGGTTTAAGAAGCGAGGAGCGTCTGTACTTTTGTGAGCAGAAATCTTCACATTTTTGTCACTACTGTGTTCTTTTGACGTGGTTGGTGAATTGATTATGGCGAACGCAGGTACCTTCGATTATATTGTCTGCGGGTAAGTACAAATGCACATTTACGATATGGATCTCCATTAACTAATGTCGGTGTAGTGGCGGTACTTCGGGATGTGTAGTCGCAGCACGTCTTGCTGAGAACCCTGATATCAGCGTGCTTCTTATCGAGGCTGGCCAGCATAATAAAGATCTGGAGAATGTACACATGGCGGGCGGGTAAGTAATGGTTCATCTGAGCAACATATTCAATTATACGGCGCTAATACTGTGAAGATGGTCGAATAACTTCGACGCCGAGACTGATTGGAATTTCGTTACACCCCCAATGAAAGGCGTAGATAATCGCCAGGTGAAGTTGAGTCGAGGTCGCTTTCTCGGCGGCTCGAGTGGTTGCAATGGCACTCTATGCATCCGTGGATCCAAACAAGATTACGATGACTGGGGACTGGAAGGATGGAGTGGAGAGGATTTCTTCAAATACATGAGAAAGGTAATGGCCAAGTCGAAGGTAACATTCTACTGAGCTAAATATGTTTCAGTCAGAGACATTTCATCCCAAGCCCTGGTTCAAGGCCGACGCAAAGAGTCACGGCTACTCCGGACCCCTCCATACAGAACCGCACGACCTTGCCCCAATTTCTCAGCTACTTTTGAAATCCCTACAATCACAAGGAATGCCACTGAACCATGATATGTTCAGCACTGGTGATGTCGCCCAGGGCTGCGGTCATGTCCCACGAACAGTCTACGAGGGCCTCAGAACAACCGGTGCCGATTTCGTGACCAACAAGAACACCAGGGGCAATATAACTATCATCACCGATACAACCGTAGACAAGGTTGTATTTAGACAGGATGGCAGCCAGACTCGCGCATCGGGTGTCGTTACGAAGGCCGCAGATGGTACATCCAAGACGTTCAATGCCCGGAAAGAAATAATTATTTCGGGAGGCGCATACTGCAGTCCTGCAATTCTGCTTCGTTCAGGTATTGGACCTAAAGAAGAGCTGAACAAGCATCAAATTCCGATTACAAAGATTTCCCCTGGAGTCGGTAAAAATCTTATGGACCACCTTGTATGTTTATGTTTACATTTCCGATCTTGAAAGCACCAATTTGAATGTGAGCAACAGCTAACTTAAATAGATCGTATTTATCTTCTACGAAACCGAAAAAGCAGGCCTAACAAACGACTACGCCGTCCACCACGACAACAACTTCGAAACAACATACCAACTCTGGAAAGAGAAGAAAACAGGCTTCCTCTCCACATTCCCATTCGGAGTCTTCGCCTTCGCCAGACTAGACGAGCGCCTAAAAGACGAGCCACTCTGGAAAAACGCCGCCCGCCTTCCAGGCCGTGATCCAATGGGCCTAACACCTAGCCAACCAAACATCGAATTTTTCACAACAGAATGCTACGGCGGTCCAAAGCAATACGATCAGCCCCCAGTGGAACATAAGCATGCATTTTCCATTATTGCAGAGCTCTTTGCGCCTAAGTCTCGGGGTTCCATTACGCTGAGCTCGGCCGATGCGTTGGTTAATCCTGTTGTTGATTGTAATTATTTAGGTGATCCGATGGATATGTTGGTTCTTAGTGAGGCTTGTCGGTTTGGGAATGAGGTTGTTATGAAGGGGGCCGGGACGAAGGATATTGTTAAGGGGTCTTGGCCGGATAATTTGAAGCATCATACTTATACGACGAGGGAGGAGTGGGTTCCTTATGTTAAGGAACATGCGACTACTTGTAAGTGGAACTTTGTGCGGCTTCTTTGGTTTTTCGTGTTGCTAATCTGGAATTATTAGGCTATCATGCTGCGGGTACCTGTGCGATGGGTAGAGATGAGAATCCTCTGGCTGTTTTGGATGAGAAGATGCGGGTTAGAGGTGTTACTGGCTTGCGTGTGGCTGACTGTAGTGTTATGCCAACATTGCATGGCGGACATACTCAGATGCCGGCTTATGGTATTGGAGAAAAGTGTGCGGATCTCATCAAAGAGACCTGGCGGCAAGCTGGGAACGTTTACCCGCGTATTTAAGCAGGGGCATGCTATTAAGACTGAGAGCTGCCTATTACTACGTGTCTTTGTAAAGACCTTTTCAATTTGAATCGATTCAATTTAGCAACAAGGCAATGTGATTTACACAACTTTGAAAGCAACCTGTATTGAAATCGGAGGATTGACTGAGAACGTAACCAAAATCCAAAGTAAACATAATCAATAACAATATATGGGTAACACAAGGGAGTATACCATGTCTCAATTAAGAGCTGTCCGTTGAGTGCTGGCTGAAACTGAAGTCAGAGTCTTGTGAGAAACTCCCCATGCTAAGTTCAGAAGATTGAGGATCACTCAGAGTCTTGTAGTTTTGCCGAGTAATTGTAAGGTGGTTCTCCACATTGATTGTTGTGGGCACTGGGAGCAGAGAATGTTGATACTCCACATGAACTGTAAGTAGATGCTGAAATAGCTCGTTGGATGAATATTCACATAGTAAAGCGTTTATCTGGGCCATCATTTCTTCGATGAACGGGTGTTCATAAAATGGAGAGCTTTGTTGAGTCTCGGATGGATAGTCAACCACAGCTGGGACACAAATCTGCACGGGGATGCTCCAAGTTTCCCCAGGTCTAAGGGAGATAAGCCTGCAATCCTCAATAACAGACTGAATCTGACACCCGTCACCAGGGGTAACCGACAATTTCAAGTCTATAACACAGCCAGGATTTATACCGGTGCGAAGCTGCCGAATGACTCTCAAGATTCTGCGTATAAAATGAGTTTCTCTAGGCCCAGCATCACAAGCGCCGACAGTGTAAGAGATATGCCACCCCAATTGTGAGTTTGCATTGTCGAGTGGTAAGCATGTCTGGGGGGTGATGGTGTGAAATCCAATTGCTGGGTCAATCCAAGGTATTAACAAGTGGTCTGGCGGCGTCGCTGACACAAAGAATATATGACAAAATGCAGCTCGAGGTGAACGGGAGAATATCTCAGAGGCGCCCTGAACCACATTTCCAATGTCAAGAGAGGCTTTTTGATGTGCAGCAAGCTGGCGGCTGGAGAATATATTAAGCGCAGATCGAACAGCCCCTATGGCATGAAAGCCCAATGGCAATAACATTTCAAATCCATGTTTGGAGTTTTGATCGATGTATGCTAGGGCGAATCGGTCATGGCTGTGGGATAAGTGTGAAACGAGAACAGAAGTCCCGACAGTGACCTGAGTCAAAAGGGTGATAGATGGTTGTGCCCTAAATGCTCGTTTAGTACCTTCATTGATACCAGGATAAAGGCCAAAACTTACAAGCTGTCGAGAAGAATCATTATATCCAGCGGTGCAATACTCGAGGCTCCTGGAAAGGGAGTTGGACTGACATCAGCCGAGACGTATACAGTAGCCCACAAAGACGTTTGCCCCATGCCAATCTGAAGTTGGTCTGTCGTTGCTCTCAGATTGACGAAAGCCACAGGAAGATCCATGGGCCGCAATGAATCAAATTCACCTCGTTTCGTGTGCTCGGGTCGAGGCTGTTGAGGCGCCGGCGCGGAAATTCTGGACGCAGACAAGGTCCCATTTGAAAATCGTGCAGATGGTCCCGGTGAGTTCCAGGAGCCGGAGCTCCAACGCACGACCAGCTGAGGGGCCAAACGATAGCCCTTCCTAGCCCAATTCATTCGAATGTCAGAAATTTGTCCCGCATTCTGCTTATCACGTTAGTCAAACAATTACAGAAACATGATTGAAGGGGCAAAGGGTGGATCACGTTATCTATGAATGGATCGTCGTTCGATTTAGTTTTCGCATAATCTGCACCCCGGTGGATAGGAGATTTAGATTGTCGTATTTTCGTAACCTCAATTTGATACAAGCTGTCACTTAAAGATGGCGTTCTGGTTGATGTTGATGTTGTTGGCTCATCTGAGCCCTTTCGCTCACTCGTCGAGAGCGAGGAGCTGCGTCGCGGAATCCTTGGGTAGGATGAAGATGGTAGTGTGCTTTGACTCCGCGATTCATTGCATCTCCTGACCGTGAGAGGCCCCGGAGACTCATCTGCGGCTGTGAGCCTTCTAGACCTGCTCCACGCTGGTGACAGGCTCTTCATACTCAAGCGGTGACTCAGAGGTCTCGGTATCTCGATTTCCAGCGGCGCTTTCGATATCCGATCGAAGTCTCGTCTTCTTCTTTCTTCGGTAACCCTGGCAGCGGCAGCACGAGGGGAACCACAAAGGGCGATGGAATCTGCAGCTGCAATACTCCGCGCAAGCGAGTAGCACTGCGACGGCACAGAAAAGGACAACAATCGGAACAAGAACTAACGCAATAAGCAATGCAGAACTTTTAATATCCAGTGATAAAACATTGGGCATTTTGAATGATGGTTGGGGAGGTTGGACAAACGGCAGAGATCAACAGCAGAGAAGGTGAGTTATATTGAGTCTTGGCCGACGACAAATTCGTAGTCGGCAGGAGCGCTTTAGCTGGAACGGAAGTATAATGGGGGGGTATATTGGGGCAAGCGCGAAACATCACTCCTTAATTACATTCACCACTGATTCCATTTTCTCCTTGACCGAACTTAAAGTTGCATCACCCAGACGGGAGAATCGTATCTGTGATCGGTCAGTGGCCATCTCGACTAACAAAGTTATCTGACTTACCGTCTCATCTCCACCGCCACGAGCAGCATTCCCAAATAGCATAGGCTCAGAATGGCTAGCTTCGATCTCATCTTGCACTCGCCGAGCCCAAATTCCATCCCAATGCCAATCTCCCGGGCGTCGAGCTTGCGGACTTTCTCGCCTGGAGCGACCAAATGAGTCGGCCCCCCGACGGTGTGCCTTCCACGCATGCCAAGCTCCCGGGTTGCCTGCTACATCGACTGGCAAAGAATCCAAGACAGTCTCGTCATCGAACGTGGATCGAATGTAATCCAATAGCTCCGCAACCGGCACAGACTTCCTAGTCTCCACAAATTGATTGATAGAGGGCACTTGAGCAACGCGAGGAGGCTCTTCACTTTGATCAATATTTTCCGGATCCTCAACCTGATCGTCTGACGCATCCGCGGGAGCTGTCTCCTCAGTTATAAATCCCGCTGACTCGGGAATTCCCTTGGTTGCAGTATTCGCAGTACCTGCACTGCCCCCGCTCACATTTCGGGACGAAGCGCCAGATGCAAGACCACTGCGCTTCGCTCTCCCGAACCAATGGGGAAATCCATGGCGCAGACTAAATCCACCCGGGGGTAATCGCTCATCGTCCGTCGCGCTGACTGGATTATCACTTGCTGAGCCGGTACTGAAGGTGTATGTTGTAAGAGGAACGATTAATGGGTGGAATAGGTCGGTTGTAAAGGTCACAAGAGGTGGAAGATCAGGGTAGATATCTGGAAATCGAATGTGGAAACGAAGGATGGCCGACGCATAGGGTCCTAGATGGCAGACCAATGTTCAATTAGAAGTGTTAAACGAGCATGTCCCGATCTAGACTCACCGTGTCGAACGAAAATTACGCCATTCCACAGGGTCGGATCAGCAGGCGCAAGGCTCACATAAACCCCTGGCGGTAAAGCACGTCGCAAGCTTGCACTGCACAGGTGCGGTCAACAGATAGCTCGGTATAGATTCTAGATTCGGAGAGATACTCACAATTCTAGATGTAATTGTTGCTTCCGAACGGATGGAATGCAAGGCAGCCGGGTGGTTGACATGATCAACTAGAGTTTATACTCAGATCCAATTACCTGGAGCTCTTAGGGGATGTGGCGGAGATCCCGGGGGAATTCAACACCACAACACGTTGCTTATCGATAGGCTTATCGATAGGATTATCTGTCTTATCTTTACCCTTATCGCGTATCGGCATCGCAACTTCCTCGGAAGGACTTGCCTGATCAAGCGAAGAACTTGGATTTGTATGAACCGAACATAAGACCTTCAGGGCTCGAGTATACAGCTGAACAGCAGAGGATCAGAACGTGGCGACATTATTCATTGGAGAAATTTCTACATATACAGTACAAAAACATCAAATCTAGCGTGTATCTATCTTCAAAGCAAATTTACCAAACTCCATGTCTTGCCTTAAAAGGCCCAAATGCACCATACCCTCCCCAACACCTTCATATACACCACCAGCAATTCCTTCTATCCACCAACTTACAAAGTTCCCAATCACCGTGCCAAGGCGACCTTCATTCAATTTTGAGGCTGTCGAGCCAATACCAGCACTCCTCTTGCCCAACTCGTCTGCTGCATCTAAAGTCGTAGCGACAATCCGCTGCGTGATGCGGTGCGATCTCTCATATTCATATACCCAACGCAGGAAGGCATGTATATATGGTAGGAAAAGCCGGATGAGTACAAAAACATAAACAATCACCGACGCAAGTATCCTATGGAGATATGACCGTGGAGAAGAGGGTGCTTTTGTCGATTTCTGTCCTTCCACTTGTACATGCTGTGCACTCGAGCTTATGGCAAGTGATGATTTGACGGAGTGGGGTAGTCGATTTCCCAGCATAGTTGTCTCCTCGGTCGTAAGATCTGCAGGAAGGGCATCGAGTAGGTACATCAAGGCATTAACATAGAGCGACCGTGCCAGACGGCCATCCGCATGTGGCTGTTGAGCCTCATATCCTGCATTGCGTAGCAGATTAAAAGCTAGTCAAAGAGTAAGCGTGACTAAACATATCAGGGTGACTTGACTTGGCCTCTCACCAGGTACTATCCTGTTCCATCGTAAACCAGATTCGCTCTCATATTTAGTGCGGGGTATCCCCTCTTCGACAGGGCTATCGGACCCACCAGATCTGGACTCAAATGAATCAAGACTGGCATTCGCAGTGGAAGGCCTCCTTGTCTCGGCGAGGGTTACTTCCGGGAACGAGGGGGAAGACAGTTGAGGATCAGAGAAAGAATTCAGTCCATGTCCATGATACACAATGCCACTTGAATCTTCATCGAAGCCAGTCCTATTGGAGTATAATCGAGGAAGTTGACGTCTGATTGCGGCTGGGATAGGAAGAAAGGAGAGTTTCGAGTATTCCATTTGGGGGTGTGCGCCCTGGTGAGTTTTGAGGGTGCTTGGGTACAATGGGAGACTTATAAAATGACGACTTGCGAAGAGGGACAATGACTTGTACACATTTCCTAGTGGGACTATGGGGGTACTTCCGGGTTGACAATGACAGATAACGGTCTTGCGTGATGCATATTTTCTCAGTCTAGTGCAGGTGATTTTCACATGCTAAGATCCTCGTATCTGATATGCTGATAAGCGCGGTCTGTGCTTGGAGCTAACCGGGAGAGAGCCGGGAGACCCATCACGAATCAAGATCATAGGATTGCCTTCAATAGTGTGATACGTACAAACAGAATATAGAGATATCTGGAAAGGGCTCCAAAGAAGTTAACCGGTACTCAGTTGAAGGTGTATGATGATATTCTCGAATTTGCAGACAGATGTAGAGCAATATGACAACTCACTAATTTTTCTGTCTAAGATCTTCATCTTCTGTGGTATGTATCCTCTGTTTCCTCAGCCATTACTAGTAGTAGAACTATTATTTTCACGGGTTCCCTCCCTTTCCAACGCTGTTATTATCTGTTTTGTACCTTTCTGTTTTTCCAAGTACTTCAAGTTGTTACGTCTTCCATCATCTCATCATGAAACCGACGACCTCATCCTTGTTCTCCTTTTGGTCGGGGCTACATGACTGGCAGACTGTTTAAGAGGTCAATAGACTTCTCAGAGATCTGGAAGGCAAGATTGAAAGATATGGTTTAATTCAACTACTCGAAAATTTATTCATATCAATCTCTCAATCGCCCACTGGCAGGCCTCTCACCATGGATCATCAGAGGAGTACTATCCCAGACCCCAACATTGAAGTCTTCAACCAGGCTGGCGATCTCAAAGCTGAAAAACTTCCAAATGCCATTTTTGGAGTTTTTACGCATGTTTCCTACTTTCATATCTATAATGACCTCAACATCTGTCTCTACTAGAAACAAATATACAAACTGAAAATGCCTCTGATCCAAACTGGAAGTTCACGAGTCCATTGGCAGGCGCTGAATATGCTGGTTGATGAAATAGCCAAGCATTTGAATTAGTAAACCTTGGAATATACGTTCATCGATTCACAAAGCTAAGGGATCGAAAAATCTCTGGATTGAGGTAGATTTTAGATTGAGAACTTGATCCTACCACAAAGAAATATGTACAGCAGTGCCCAGTTCAAGTTGTTCCCCTATATTCTGTTCAATGTTCGTGCTCCAAGAAGTACCTGAGAGAACTTAAAGAAAGCCGACCAACATTTGACCAACCTGGGCAAGGGATGCAAACCAAATGTTTGTACAGAAAGACCTTGGCGAGGACTTTGATGAAGGAACGGCCAAAAAGAAGAAGAGGGAAGGGTATTGATTTCGCTGTTGACGTAAGTTGATAATACATGTATGACATTGGAGAGACTAGATACATCAATAGAGGGGATACTATAAATCTGTATGGTGTTCAATTATTGGACAATGATGAAATAAGAAAGACCTCGGAAAGGTTAATAGCACTTGGATCTACACCTTATTGGTAGACGAGGACCGAACGATGATCTTTTTGATCCCTTCGGCTTAACCCCAAATTGCGGGTCTTGCAGTTTTTGATAGCCCTCAAAGCGGTTGGAGGCGGACCAGGAGAATTTCTTTTCGGGGAAGCCGTGTTCCGAGATGAAGAATTTTTGAGTCTTGGCGTTGGTCATGGACATCGGGTGGGGTCCAATATACGTCTATGGGTACATGTAGTAAGAAGGTGGTTGAGCTGGTAGAACAAGGTGTTAGTGAAGGTAGATCTTTTTATAAACCATTCAATGCTATTGGCCTACTTGGGCTGTCGCACGAGGGATTTCCGCAAGTATGAAAGTGGTTGGTTTTTAGGATTATCCCCGAGTCGAGTTCCCGAGTTTTTTATGGAAAACCAGAGTTCATGGATGAAGAGTGTATACATAGGATCTCCTAATACGGATATTTACTAGAATATTCACTAAGATGTCCATACGGCCTCTTGCACCAATTGTATAGAGCAACTCCGATATCGCGGGGACCTGGATCGTCCTTTCCCGTTTAGGAACGCCCTTGCTGCCCCGCTTGGAAGCCGCGCTTTACCCAAATAGGCTTGGCGTTGACATGCGAAGGGCGTGCAGGTGCATCCTCCTGATCACACGCGGAACTTGCCTCTGACTCCGGCCCTCGTCTATCTCATTCATTCGTGGCTGGTGGAAACTCAACATAGATGACGTCTGGTATTAGTCCTCGCACCCTAGAGTTAATCGGCTTGACCGACTCTTGATCCTTAGCGGGAAATGGGCCTCTCGGCCAAACTACCCATTGACATTCCAGTATGACTGATTGCTTATCGACAATCTAGATGGGGGGAACCTACAAGGCCCCGATGTACCGGCAAAATCCTGGTGGCACCCCCCAATTACGGTTCTAAGGTCCATCTACTCCACTTCCACCGAGTCTTGATTATTCACCCAGCCTTCCCCGGACTAAGGATACCCTTCCCAGACCGACTCTTTTTTTTTCAACCTTTCAGTATTGTGGCAGACAACAATTTATATTTGATTCACGAAAGAAAAGAGACTTGTTATTGAACATTGCATACTGACAGTCTATAAGACTGTTCCTCGATTCAAAGCATGGAGTACTTTGACTTTGAAGGTGCCTCGTCAGCTCACGAATCTAATCACCAGAGTGATGTTGCTTCGGTCGATCTAGAATTTGATGAAGCCGATGAACGGGCCGCCAATTTCAATTCTCTACTTCAAGACCAGTCTTTGGAATTCGCCAATGACCCGCCCGTCCCGGAGACGGCCGAACAGATCTTGCCAAATACCATCAGCCCTGATTATGACACCGGGGTCTACCCCATGTTCCGTGCTGAGCAGCCTTGTGACTTTTGTCGGCGAATGGGACTTGACTGCTTTGTTGCTAAGCGGGGTGTGATGCACCAGAACGGTTGCACTTGCTGTATTTCTCTCTACCGGGAATGCAGTTTCACCCATGCCAAAGTTCCTGGCAAGTTCTTGCAGACACTACATCCAGTGTCAGAGAACGCCTACATCCCAACAGGCAGTCTGACTGGTAAAAAGGCACTCAAGTCAGTATCCTATGGTGGCTTTGGAGACAATTCGGACTCGCGTGCTCTCAAGAACAACACTCGATTTTCGCGAAAGGCTATCAATGTTCTTAAGGGTTGGCTGCGGGACCACGGCGAGAATCCCTATCCCAACGAGACCGAAAAAGACCAACTCAAAGACAATACGGGATTGACAAGAACTCAGATATCCAATTGGCTTGCTAATGCTCGACGACGCGGCAAAGTTCGTCCTACAAGCGGCACTCAATCTCCTGTTCCAGGCGGCGCAGTCGACATTCCTGATCCAAACCTCAAGGATCCTTCACTCATGACTCCCATTGAACGTTGGAAGCACTCACCCCCCGAGAACGAACCTGCTACGATCAGTGATATTGCCCGTGCCTTGGCGAACCCACCATTTGATCCGTCACGTCCACGCTTATCCCAGCCCAGTCACGTGAGGCCCCGTCGCCCTGGATCTACAAATGAGTCAAGCCACGCGAGCTCAGACCATAAAAGATATACCGCCTCAGGCAGTAGTTTGGATACTAGTCATTCATCCCTGTCTGATCTCTCTTTTGCTTCTGCATTTTCCCATCGATCCTCTCGTGGGTCATTCGGTTCAATGGACCGTAAAGAACGTCGCCGTCGCCGAAAGGCCTCGCTACCAGTCAATACTTTCAATCACCAAAAGGCACGAAATGTTCGACCCTTCCAATGCACCTTTTGCACAGATTCCTTCGCAGCCAAATATGATTGGCAACGTCATGAAAAGTCCATGCATCTGATATTAGATAAATGGACATGTTCACCTCATGGTGGCGTCACTGAAGAGAATGGCACCCTTCGATGCGTTTTCTGTTTTGCCATAAATCCTGATAAAGATCATTTGGAAACTCACAATTATCTCAATTGTCAAGAAAAGTCTATTCAAGAAAGGACCTTCTACCGAAAGGACCATCTCAACCAACACCTTCGTCTCATGCACAATGCCAAATTTCAACCCTGCATGGAAATTTGGCAAAGTAGCATCACCAACATTAAATCCCGCTGTGGTTTCTGTGGATCTACGTTACATACGTGGAAGGATCGCGTGGACCACCTCGCTGGCCATTTCAAAAATGGAGCGGGCATGTCACAGTGGCAAGGGGACTGGGGGTTCGAGCCCTACATCCTTGAACGAGTTGAGAATGCAATTCCACCATACATGATTGATTATGAGTGGAAGTCGCCTAACCCTTGGACCACTGTGCAGTCACAAGGTGATGAGACAACCCCAAGGCTGAGCGTACCTGACGATGCAAATTGTTATGACCGTCTATCATACGAACTTACCAAGTACATTCACGACCAAATAGCACAGGGGATCGTACCCACAGACGAAATGATACAAGCACAGGGTCGACGAGTGATTTATGATTCCGATGACCCTTGGAATCAAACTTGTGCCGATAATGCTGTCTGGCTCGGTATCTTAAAGCGAGATACAGGCTTAGATACTGCCGTGAACAACGACATCATTCAATACTCAGATTTGGGGTTACAACCTCCTTTTGCCATACATGGTGGTCTGCGTAATCCTCCTCAAGAAGCAAACATCCTAGCGCGGGCCATTTGCCCTGGTGCTCTTCCAAGCCCCGCAGTTTCCAGCCCCGGCATCCTAAGCCCGACCTATCCGGGGACCGGTTTCTCTTCAGCGGGCCCTAGTGGCGCGGGGAGTCTTTCAGGGAGTTATGTCGGTAGTGCAGGGATGCTCTCTGCTGGCGTGCCGGCATTTTCATCTGATTGGAGCAGTAGCATCCCCGGCAACGCATCGGCCTCTTCTGCTCCTGTGGAGGGGTCGGCTGATCCGTTAGTACAGATGGGATTTGATCCAATATTCCTGCAGCGATTGAACGATAGCTACAGTGAATTGACGCCACCGGAGATGGAGGGCCTGCCTTTGGATGAGCGTGCAGCTTATGAAGGCAATGGAAAACAAAAGTGGGTGGATCCAGTGACGCAGTCGCATCCTGTATTAGGTCTGCCAACACCAGATCCCAATGCTATTCTTCATTCGAAAGACAGCGGTTCTCCTGTATCAGGTGATGCCCAGCAAGGCATGTCTGCATATCATGAAGATTCTGGACTTTGATTTATTTTTGATGTGTCAATGTTTATCCGGAATACATAGCAAGTCAAACTTGGCGAGGAAAAGTTTTTAATATCTTCTGTTTTTGCATTTTTGTCGACACCCAATCAAGTATAATAAACCGGTTTTTGTACTACAGAATGAATTGATGGTTCAACTTCTTGGATTTTTCTTAGTATTAGTCTGCCACACCTCAACCTCGTGGGGGGTGGTTTAATTGAAAATTGGACCTCCACCACGCGTCCTTGTTCTCACCAAGATGCGTCATAAATTGCCTGAAGAATCCACAGTGCGTGCTCTGACTACCTCCCCGATCCGCTTTCCTAATGCGTGGGGCCCTGGTCGTCAAAAGAAATTGTGGCTTCTCCTGACCCGCGGATATCGTCCGGTGGATTCTGATTGACTCATGCGCGAAATTGATCACGGTCTAGAGTTCCTTCTTTGTTAGAACCCAGCATTCTAGTTCGCTCCTGGCTGACACGCAGTGTTCCGAGACACGAGCCCGCATCCCTCGTATCCATTGCTCAGGCACCTCTGTGATTTTCGTAGCTGATTCGTTCCTGACAGAAACTTTGTACCGAGGTTCATCTATGAGCTTCCTACTCAGTATCCACTTCTGCAAGAATGAGAAGCAGTGTACTGTACATTGAATCTATCCTATCACATTGCATAGTCACTCTTTATCACCACTATCGTCACTCAGCATTATATTCGTCCGAAATGAAGATATATGCCCCTGTCTTATATTTTCTCTTTGCTTTGCTTTTCTACACCCATTCATAGGCGCCCGTTCATAGGCAGAGGAATGCGATTTCCGCCCTAACATAGGCACATGATAACTTTCTATAGTTGGTTCTTGTATATGGTTAAGAACCATGATCCTGGCTCACAGTAGCAAATATTCTATAGCGGTAGCTGCCTCCCCGTCTGTCCGCCCCATCCTTGCAGCTCTCTCTGCAGGGTCTCATGCTCAACGATTAATGTCAGGTATCAGGGAACAGGCTGTTCTTTTCATGTTGAAATTTCCTAAGAGCGCAAGTGAGACAATGAGATGGGCTTTTGCCTGAAGCGTACGGTGGAATGTAGGAGCGATCTCAGCCCATCGAGAACCCAACTGGGCAAGATCAAGATGGATATTATTCCAAAGGGGATTCTGGAAGGGCGTGCACTCTAATAGTACTAGTATATAACTTACTTCTCGTCCAAATTCATGTCGCAATAGGACGAGACGAAATTCAGTCACAACAATCGGCTGCCAGCTACGAGCCAACTTGAACGCCATGAAGTTCTCAATCAGCAATCTAATCTTGTTATCTGTCTGTCTGTTTCAGTGGGCATCCGCTGAGCTTGTTTATTTCTCGATCGTCCTTACCTGGGCACAGAGAGAGGTTGCAGGATTCACAAGAGACGTAATCTTAGTGAACGATTCGTACCCTGGTCCCCCACTAAAACTCGTTCAAGGCGATGAAGTCATTTTCGATGTCCGAAATGAATGTCCCTTCAACGTAACTGTACATTTTCATGGTAAGCACACCAATAACTTGACGCGACTTCACTCGTTGTATTATCTTTTAACAAAAGATTGCTAGGTATTGAACAGCAAGGAACTCCTTGGTCGGACGGTGTCCCTGGAATGAGCCAACGCTCTATTCGGACCGGTCATTCATTCCGCTACCAGTGGACAGCCCACCAATACGGTGCATACTTTTACCATGCACACCATCGCGGCCAAATCGAAGATGGTCTTTATGGACCCATTTACATCGTGCCCTCGAATTCCGAAGAAAGGCCGTTTAGTATGATCTCTAGCGAAGAATCTCAGCTTCAAGCTATGCTTGTCGCCGAACAAAATACCTCACCTGTTCTTCTCTCGGATTGGCGCCTTTTGACTTCTGAACAAATCTGGGCTGCTGAGGAAGCTTCTGGCCTTGATGCATTTTGCGCGAATGCTCTTTTAATTAATGGCAAGGGGTCTGTTTCTTGCTTTTCTGCTGTGGAGCTGGACGCTTTGACTACTTCCGACCAGAAGGCGGGTCTGGGAAATCAGTCCCTCACTGATATTGGGTATGCTCACAGCTTACATTCCAAAATGACTAAGAATATTCATTAACATCTTGGTAGATGCTTTCCGCCAACGAACGAAGCCACCGAAGGTAACTACACGCATGATTACAATAAATTGCTACCGACAATGTTCGAGGGGTGCACACCATCATCAAGTCCTCGTGAGATCTTTACCGTCGATGCAAATGACCAATACGTTAGCTTTGACCTGATCAGCTCCGCCGGACTATTACATCTTATATACTCCATAGATGAACACGACATGTACGTATATGCCGTCGACGGTCGGTATATCCAGCCTGTTCTGGTAAACGCCATCAATCTACCAAACGCAAACAGATACTCCGTCATGGTGCCTCTTAACAAAGTGCCGGGGGACTATACAATCCGCATGGTGAGCGGTGATCAACAGCAAATACTCAACACAACGGCCACATTCCGCTATAAGGGTGCATCACAGCTGAACCGATCCTCCGATCCATGGGTTACAGTATCAGGCCTAAACGCCACTGCCGAAACAGTCTTCTTGAACGATACAACCACAATTCCTTTCCCAGTAGTTTCACCAGCCTCTTTCGCTGACGAAACCTACATTCTTCATCTGGACCGCTACAACGCCTCTTATCGGTGGACACTAGGGAATAGCAGTTTCAATCTTCAACTTGAAGAATCACAGCCCCTTCTCTTTAATCAAACGGCTATTCCCAATGATTTGATAATTAGAACCAAGAATGGTTCTTGGGTTGATCTTATTATTCAGGTTGATTCGGCTTTCCAGCCATCTCATCCTATTCACAAACACTCTAATAAGCATTTTCTTATTGGACAGGGCAGCGGCGAATTTACCTGGTCTTCTGTTGAAGAGGCCATGGCGGAGATACCGAATTCTTTTAACTTGATTAATCCGTCTTTAAGGGATACGAGTGCTACGGTTGTTTCGTCGACTGATGCTGTGTGGATGGCTCTTCGGTATCAGGTTATCAATCCTGGTGCCTTTTTGTTGCATTGTCATATTCAAATTCATCAGGATGGAGGAATGGCGTTGGCGATTTTGGATGGCGTTGACGCTTGGCCGACTATTCCGGATAGGTATAGGTTTGATTCTGGGTTTTGAGCCCTGGAGGTTGATGTTGAATTTTAAGGACAGATTTGAGTAGATTGGCAGATTGCTGTGTTTGTGGTATATAGGTACTAGAGAATTTTGAGATAGAATTAAATCAAGGACAATATTATTATATGATCAGCAGATCTATTGTTGTTGAATTTAAATTTCTTGTCGGGGTAATAGTAACAAGTGCTGTTGATGCCAAACCAGTCCCTTACTAAAATAGAGCTAATTTTAGCCAGTATCAAGCTAATATAAGGAAAGACAAAGAAGGGAGCTGCTCCTTATGTTTCTGAGTTCTAATGAATGGGAGATCTCATACTCTCCCTGAGATAACCAACCAGGGCACATAATAGTAATTCAGTACAGGTTCCCGTCCACGTGTAATAAGATTCCTTGGACTATTACTAACTTTATTAGAGGATAGTATGTATACTAGCTACGCGCAGCCTCCAACATTTGAAAGTTATCAGAAAAGTCTAGAGACGTAATCATCAAAGTGATATTAAACGAGAGACTAGCTGGCTAAATAGCATCAAAAGAACGCCCAAAATGGTGAAGTATGTATGTCACAAATCAACGCAGGTACAAAAACGTTTCGGCTCGTGTCATTCCAGTCATAATGCAAAAAAAAAAATTCTTCCTTTCAATATCTTATTTCGCGCCCAGGGGAGAAGATATGAATTTATATATAGCCCATCTTTCAAATAAGATAGAATTTCCAGCTTAATCACTTGGCTCGGATTGGACAGGCTCCTCGTTAGGAGCTTCAATGGGTGCGTCAATGGCATCTTCAATTGGTCCCTCCAGATGTTGGTCAATAGGGGCTTGAACAAGCTCGTCAATGGGCTCTTCGCTTATGTTATCAATGGGTTCGCCAAAGGATTCATCGGCGGATTCCTCGTCCGGTTCCTCGGTAGGTATGTGCTTGGGCACTTCTGTTGGCTGCTCAGATGAAGAAGGGGTCCCAGCTTCAACTTCAATCTCCGCTGCATTGTGTGATTCTTCCTCTATGGCTTCAGGCTCGGACTCTGTGGCGACCTCGGGGATCGGTGTCTCGAGACTCAGATCAGCGGATTCTGAAGAGTGCTCCATCGCCTGAGGATCAGTCGTTTCGTGAGGAGGCTCGACAAATTCTGCTGTTTGCGCAACGTCTTTGACGACAGAAGAGTGCACTGAGACTGGAGCTGGCACCGGGACTGTCGTAGAGGTGGGGGCAACGCTTGTAGAATCGAGGGTCTCATCAGGCACAGCAGAGGGTTGGATTTCCACTGACTTAACCCTGATACTCGAAACACTCAAGCCCACTCTGGGAGTTACAGATGGCTGTTCTGCATGGAGAGGAGAATATTGAACGATAGGTTGGAGTTGTTGCTGCGTGTGAAATCTAGTAGCAAGAAACCCGACCAGAATAGTCATAACAACCAATGCGATATTGCGCTTGTCGCCAGCTAGCACACGAATATAGTTGAGCATCAGAGTACCCAGGGCAATCTGCTGTTCTGGATCTTGGCGCTTGGTCTCTGAGGATGTGGTAGCGGCCGTGGTCATCACGGGAGATTCCCTGGCTTGCGTATTTTCAGCCTGCATGAAGGACTCAATGCGCTCTTGACTCGACGGCTCCTGGCGATTGATCTCCTTTGCGTTGTTTCCTTCGATCAGAGAAGAGTGGGCCTCTTCTTTCAATACAGGAGAACGCTCCTCTGCAATTCGTTTCTCTAATGCACGTCGAACCTCAGAAGGTAACCAAAGTCCAACCTCGACGTCAACCTTTTCCATCTCTTTCCATGCAGCAGCCCATGCACCGGCACGCATGAGACCATTAGCTGCAAATACCCTGATCTCCCACTTCCGATTCGTGTCACTCTGATGAAGTACTCGCCCACCACAGTCTGGACACTCTTCACCTTGCTCACCATCCGTTTCACTCTCGCCTTGATCGGAAACCTCATCCCCGGATTCAGGGGCACCTTCCTGGTGTCCTAGAAAATGACCATGATGAACCCGCGGTCGCTGAAGCTCTAGACTCTCCAGGAGTCGTTCTTCCAGCATATCATATAGATCTCCCGGATGCGAAATCAAAACACCTCGGTCGCGAAGAACGCCGGAGCCCGCCTTATCTTGGAGTCTTCGCCATCGCTTCCAGTAGTGGGGTGGTAGAACTTCCTCCACGATATCTTGGTTTTGTGGCTCTGAAGCACCGGATACTGGGAGCGAGGGTTCAAGTAGGTTGCAATGTAGTAGGACAAGTGGGTATTCCTTCTTGACTTTGGATTTATTCGGTGAGGCATTCGGCGAGTAGTATGGTGATCGTTTCAAGGACGAGGATCCCGGCGACCGCATACCCGCTCGACGTCTCGGTGGTGTCAAATATTCATCATCATCGCATTCATCTTCCGTGTGCATTTGCATTGCCCGAACGGAGCTGGGCTTTCGAAAGGCGGCTTCTCGTGGTCGAATTGTGCGCATAGATCTAGGCGGATCGTCGAAGTCACCGAAACTAGCTTCCGATTCCTCAATAGTATACCCAACCATTTTCTCATGGAGATTCATTGGTGGCATGGACTTCATTTGATTGATGGGATGTACGAGAACCGACGCTGGCATAGAGGAGATAGACGATCGACTTGATGCACGCGACTTCAGTTGCTCAAGTTCTTCGTCCATTTCGTGGCCGAATATGTCGCTTGTTGAGTGTCGAGTCGAGGACCCAGAGGAATTGTATTCGTACTCTCGGGGCAGAAATGTGGCCATCTTCTGTTGCGGATCCGTTATCGCTTGGTGGAACGTGGGTTGTCTCGAATCTGGATAGTAGATGCTCCTTGCCGGGAGGGACGCAGGGCTGTGGGCTTAGGATTTCGTTGGAGTGAACTCCTGAGCAAGGCTGGCTTGCATCGCTCAGTCTCGCCATAGGAAGTCACTAATAGTGATGAAAAACTGAAATGGGGGTTTGGCGTGATACGCCTTGACGGATCTCCTGATTAAACGTGGTGATGTAGTGTTGACAGTTGCCTCACCGCTTCGTTACCTGGGCAACCATATCGCCGTTGGGCTTCATCATTCATTAGGCTCCGGGGCTTCGGCTCCACTGATCGACCGCAACTTAATTTGTTTAGAGGAGTCAATGGGCCCTACTTTTACTCAGATGATGGTAGCCTCGTACCATATATGGTACCTAAAAAGTATAATTTGTGTCTGTCGTAGATAATCATTCACGGGGTAACAGCCAGATCCAAATGTATGTGATGTCACACGGACTGTTCAAGAAGCAATCCAAGCCTATCCCAGTACCAGACCCAGAAAGAAAACAAAAAACCACGGAGCGATCTATAACATGATCAAGGATATCATACCACCAGACGCCGGTCATAAGTCGCGATCCGAGAATTATCCAGAATGAACATGAAAATCGCTGCATAAAGAAGACAAATGCAAAGCAGATGACAAATAAGGAGATACATATACACATGAAAAGAAAACAGAATTTCGACTTTTACGGCGGCGGCCGAGGTGCGGTATCATCGGGGCTTATGAGAGGGTAATTATGGCCGTCCCCAAAGAAACTAAGGACATCTTGGGGCAGATATTCCAACCAAGGCAAAATTTCCCCGTTTGAAAATGGAAATGATTCCTGGTGGTGGAGCGTATTCATGTCGACGTCGTGACTTTCGATCATCATGCCTCCATGATTGGCGTGCAGGGATGGGTGTATATGTGCGCTGCTCCCATGTTGGTCTGCTGCTGCTGTAGTTGAAACGGGGTAGCTGAATGCGGAAGACTGGCTATCTATCTGAGCAGAGGCAAGGCTCTGGTTGAAGCTAGACTGAGCCGAAGCAGCGGCCCTAGATCCTGGCTCGGCGTACGGGGAATTCATACCGAGGTAATACGGTGATTCGGCGCCAATCGTTCGCGTGGGTATTTGCGGGTATTTAGCATTGGTAGTGAGAGACGGCCCATGGGGCCCGCCAGTAACAGGATGCGAGTAAGGTGTCGAGGTTCCGCCAGCAGTTGTCACTGTAGGTACAGTGGGGTAGCTGTGGCTATATTGTGAGGAGTAAGGTGATTTTGTAGAAGGTGTTTGATGATCTGCCGTTGGCATCTGGTATAGGAGACTCAGATTAGGCTGAGACGAATTGGTCGCTCCAGTCAGTGCCCATCCAATAGCTATAGAAAAGATTTGTTAGATTCCTTAATTGTAAACCCAATTGCGAACGAAATACCTTGACTTGGGTCAATCTCCCGTGACCATTTGGCATCGGATGAAACATCAGCCACGCCAGCTCGGTCACTCATTTGACCACGGTCTGCTGGAGTTTGTGGTTGGCCCCAGCCAGTGGCACCAAATTGTCCATCGCCCGCGGGATTTTCGATATCCCCTGCAGTGTAGAGAAGTGGATCTACGATCCCCTTGGCCTTTTGGTCCAGCACTGTCAAAATGTACCCCGTGCCTTCCCAGTACGCTTCCAACCCTTTCAATGCTTTGTAGCATCGTTGATAGTTCTCTTTGGCAGCTGAGGCAAGCAATATATGTTTGGCGGTAGATTTACGCTCCGGCCCGCTTGATGATTCCATCGTAGGCAGCACAAACCCGCTGGATTGGCCACTCAATAATGGCTGTGGTGGGGGTGACGTTCCTCGGGAAGATGATGACGAGTAGTATGCACTTTCCATTAGGAAGGCGCACGCTGCAATGTACATTGGTTGGCTGGTAAATGGGTTGCCAATGAAGCTTTTCCCATCGACCAGTTCCGAGAAGGAAATAATGTCAGCAATTGTCTTGGCTGATGACATTGAGAGTTCACGACTGTTCGGGTACAAATGTTGTATCGAGCCACCAAACGAATTGAGCAAAGTGGGCTGGTGAAGTAGAACAATGAGAGTATGAAACCACTGGTACACGTTAGAATTTGATCAAAACTCGTGAAAGTCAAGATACATACGAAGTGAAGAAGAATAAAGTTTGTTCCTTCCTTGGCTTTCACGTATGCTTGGAAGTTGGCAGCATTGAAATGAAGCTTGGGAGACAAGCGCTGATAAATACCTGTCAAAATTTAAACTTGTTAGATTTTTCTCAGAGTCATTTTGTTCAGAATCCATACCAGTCAAGTCACTTTCCATGCCAGCCAACCTTTTAAGGGTGTCAGGGGTGACATGTTTGACATCTTGAATTCCGTTTATAAGATCAGTCACTCTTCCGTAGAGATGAATAACCCGTATAAGCGGCGGGAACGGTGAAGGCCACCCATTTGGTAACTGTGACTCAGATTGCAGTGGGAAGCAAAGCTCGATATCTTCATCCCGCAACGTTACAGGCCGACCGGTTCCAGATGAGATGACCCGATCCAAGAAGAATATGCTCCAGAAAGAATCGACACGTTCCCTCTCCCTGGCTCGTTCTGTACCGAAGGCCGGTGGAATTGTTTGGGTACTGTATACATCCGGATCATCATACTGGTCCTCTCGCAGCGTTCCAGCTTGGCCAGTCATAACCTCACTCGGTGTCACGCCTTTTCGTCCATAGTTGTGCTTCAGACCCTGGTGCTTTTGAAGTCCGAGATCTTGTGCCATTCGAATCGAGATTCCCAGGTACATCCAAAGACCACTATCGTGATTCGACCCGAATTGCTCATAAGCTAGCAGGAGACAGGCCATCACACCAGCTAGGGTTGGGCATGATAGTGAATCCACGAGGGCACTTATCGCTCGGTGGGCAAAAGGCAGTCCTTTATCCCACATTTTGATATCGGCAGGCGGCTGCGAACGATCGATGGGCTGCGCCTGCGGAGGGCCAAGTAATGGGTGTGGGGAAAACCTTGCAGCCAGCGCGCATACGGCATCTACCAACATAGTATCGATCTTCTTCTCCTTAAGATCTTGAAGAAACCTATCACGCTGAAGAAACGGAAAACTGCATCCTAGATGCGCAAAAAAGAGCTCGCTCAAATGGGAGACAAGGCCCGATACTGGAAGTGTGTCATCTCGGTCGTAAAATGGAATCGTATTAGTGTCTCTGTTGTCATGGCTGTCCATCGTGGGTGCTGATGGTCCTGTTGGGGGATCGGATGTTTTAGGGCTCCGTAAAGGAGAGTGTGAATCTGTAGATCGGGGGAATTATGATTAGTGTGTGTCCAAATGTATAAACACGTTCGGCCGCGAAGCGCATGGCATATGATCACAAACCTGACGACATGGACGGATTACTCTTGCGTGATCCTCGAACTTGAACAACCTGCCAGTGTGTTAGAGCAATCTCATTTCGCGCCTGTTCGGGTATTCAGACCATTTGCTTGAAGCCGGGTACGATGGCTGTGGGCCCGAAATATCGAAAATAAGGAACATGTGTGCGATTACTCGAGCTAACAGATGTGCGACCTGGTGATATGATCTATTTTAGCTTCACGGTGCCAAAAGAAGCCCAAAAAGGCCGGCATTTCTAGTGGCAGGTGCATAACTCACTGCTTTCGGGACTATCACCATCGGCTTGCGATGTGCTCTCTTTATGAACTCGTGCCGAGGTATCTCGAGATAATGAGGTATCTTTAGAATCTGACTTTTTTGACGTCGGCGACTGCTCGGGTTTTATTTTCGATGTAGGCTTTGATCTTATATTGGACCCTGGTTCGGGCGAGCAGCTCTCTACGGCTCGCTCGTCGTGAGGATTTGTTTGGTCGTTAGGGCCGAAGGGAGGGACTGGCGGCATTCGTGAAGCCGAGTCGGATTGCGATCGGAGGTGGGCAGTCGATTCGGTGTATCCCAAGCAAACATGTTTGTAGTCGGAACATGTTTTGCATACTAAAAAAATTTATGTTAGAGGTATGTCGCAAGGGCGTTGGTCTGATCTATCCATCCATACCTGGTTGTTCACCTGAACATCTAATTTTGCGCCGGCGACAGGTTAAACAGCTATAAGGCCATAGGTTCCCCGTCAGTAATTCCGCTTCCAATATACAAGCTTCCTATGAGGTGTTTTCAACGTACGCGGCATTGACGCGCCGACGTTTGGTCTGCGGCTGACCATCAGTAGCAACAAAACGAATCTGCCGGGGACCGGAGGTGTTGCCGCCATTCTTCTTCTTGGGAGAAGGGGCGCTCATTGCGAGCGACGAGGTTATCCGTGATCACGACCCATTGGGTATAGGATGTTGGTCCCGGGTGTGTGGCTAGATCGAGTCGGCACGCGAAGCTTAAACCAGGGCGTGGCCAGATAGGCAGATAAGGCGGAATATAGGATCGTAGGAAGTTGGGATAGATTCGAGGACCGTATAGTGCATGAGGCTTCGAGGAGGTTTGGCGGGATGATGTTCAGGTGTGAAGCACAGAGGGGGCCTTAGAGCCCAATAGGAAGGGATAGCTTTGACGTTATGTTTACAGGGAGGTTTTTGTGGCGGGAGGGGGGAAAGATGGGGTATGGAAAGGAGGGGAGGATCGGTTTCCACACACGATAAGACGAAATAAAACAAGAGATGAAAAATTAAGAAAAAATCCCAGAGATAAAAAAAAAAGCTTCGTATCTCTTGATCTTACAAGTGTCAGCTTTTCTCTGTGTCATCAAATTGTTTTCTTTTTTCTTTGAACTTATCACACCCAGTACTAGAAGCTGTATGGATGTACCGAGTACTGAGATCATAACTTACGGTAATGTGAATTTCACCCTTGACCGCCCTCTTTCATAACATCACACTTCAACCCTAGAGCCCTAGACGGACGTGCTAATATGGAGATTCGCTGGAAATACAGTGCGAACACAGCTGGCCCACTCAGGTCAGGGACAACACAATGACATACAAAGATCTGATGGTCATGGGATCGTTGCGCCTAGTGGGGCTGCGTGCCAGATCCTCTGGGTTCCTGGAGCCAATAGTTCCCCCGTGGGATTGGATAGGACCTATGGTAGGGCCGTTTACTATGCCCCGGTCCTGGAGGAAGATGATGATCGGCCATGCAGAGCCGGGGCCGAAGAACATACAACGGCACGAGTTTTCCGGCTCCGAATGAACAGAAAACATAGTGAACAAAGCTAGGACCAGCGCGATACAACGTGGAGCCTAGACTTCGTGGGGACTCCATAAAATGGAGCTTGATGGGGTGAATGGAGTCCACTCGGACCAGTCGGGGAAGTGTTCCCCTCCGGCAATTCTTCCCTGCTCACGGGCTACACGCTTGTGAAGCAGCTACAGGATAGACATTCCCCCTCGACACGAATATTCTATCGGTGTGGGCATTGCTGCTCCGATTTAGCTTGAGCCCTAGGGCATGGCATTTGCATCCCGAAGAACGACTGTGCTTTAAGCTTATCCACCTAAACCTTTTTGTCAGATTGTTTTTATGCAATTTACCCGAGGCTGGTCGGCACATCTCCGGTCTGGACGACTGGCTCTCTCGGACAACAGATATTTCTAGAACACGGGAATGTGTCTCAGCGTTCAGCTGAATTGCAGATCCTGACATTGATCCGAGGAACGTCATATTGCAGCACGCAAAAACTATGATATCATGCGAAATTTATTGTCTCGAAGGAATTGGTGAAAGTCAAATGTATATGGTTGTGTGGAGTCTGCCTGCTGCGAGGCCAACCATCTAGACCAACCATTTAGTTCACCAAGCATTCCAAAGATAGAAGGCGTTTCGAATATTGAGAGCCTCTAGCAAGATCAGTGAATGGAATTTCAATGACACCGTTACTGTACATATGCGCGACGTCTGCTTATGCCCGGGGTATAATCTCTATACTTCTCCTCCATACTTCCTCTTCTGACCTTCCCTTTTTGCGGTTTCGGTGTTCTTTTCAGCTAGCCCTGGAGAATTCTATCTAAAAGTTTAATCCTGGCGTTGGGTAAAATCTTTAACTTTGAATTTTCGGCGACTCAGAATTCTACTAGTATATTCCCAGGTTGATATTGTGTTTTTCTAGCCCAAAGTTTGCCTCCTTTGTTCAAAGTTTTCCCCAATTTTCCTTGATTATTTTCGCCCAGAAGTCGCAAATTTTAATTTGGCATTGCACGAATAAGAAATTAAAATTGAACTATAATTGGATATCTTTTCTTTGAAAAGATCATTGCGCATCATCATGACATACATACGAACATTGAAATTCTGAGTCCAAGGTTGGCTAGATACTAATATCGGTGTGTATATAGAGACAGGCTCCGCGCACTTTCAGCGATCTAGATTGCTCGTTCAATTGAACTTGCATATATATCGACGAAACAAGTGTGCCCGGAAACATTTTGAAGCCCATATACACCCTGCAGCGTCTGCCTTAATGTTTACTACCAAAGGCGTGATGCGACGTGATCTTCGGACCGAAAAAGGCTGGGGTTTGACCGGGTAATTCCACGCACATATTGTGCGAAAAAGGTGCGAAGACACGTGAAAGGGACGTGGCTTTAAGCAGAAGCCAAGCAACGATATACGTGGAATTAATCGAGCTTAACTCCGACAATAAGCTTCGTCATCACAAATGCGATAAGATTCTACTCGTGCAACAATCTCCATGTCTTTCTTCCCACCTTCATTGCGAGCTCTTCCGAGGTGTCCTAGAATTCCAGTTCCATCGTTGTAAGTACCTGATTTCACCGTCAAAGTGGCAATGATCACGAGGAAAAGCGGGCTGCCGATCGATGCACCCTCTGTCTGACGTGGTTATCGCACTGCGGGGCAGTTGAGACGCTCTGGCTAACTCACATCCTCTCATTTTTAGTCGCGCTAGCTTCATCCGCGCTACCTTTCCTGTGTCAAACCTCCCTAGACGATCATTCAGCTATACACCCAACATGTACAAACCCAGACCAGACTTTAAGGAGGTGGAAGGTCCTAGGCCGGATTTCCGACGCGATGCCGAACTTACCGTCACAAAAACCCCCAACCCCGCCTGGCAACAGGGCGATGGCGCAAACGACGGCGGCGAGAGTCTGAAAAAAGACCATGTCGAAATTGATCCTTACGCCGAGGGCCGCCCAGCCGCGTCGAATTATAAGCTGTTGATTTCGGGGATGGTGCCTCGACCTATCGCCCTAGTCAGCACACAATCGGCGGATGGAAAAACAACAAATCTCGCACCGTTCAGCTACTCGCAAGTCGTGAACCATGACCCGCCTACCTTTATTGTTGGGTTCGCAGGTGGTCTTGCCAATGCGAAGGATACTTTGCGCAATATTCAAGAGACCGGGGAATGCGTGATCAACATCATCTCAGAGCACTTTGTCGAAGCTGCCAACTCGACATCTATCAATGCTCCATACGGAACTTCTGAGTGGGATGTTTCTGGTCTTACCCCGGCACCAACTGCTGTTGTTAAGCCGGCGCGTGTTAAGGAGTCTATTGTCGCGATCGAAGGCAAGCTCGTCGATATCAAGGAATTTGAAAGTCGGTCAACTCCTGGTAAGAAGACTGGTGCGATGATCACTGTTGAGGGAATGCGGTTCTGGGTTCGAGAGGACGCCATCGATGAAGAGCGCTCGGCTGTTGACCTGAGCGTTCTTAAGCCCATTAGTCGGTTGGGTGGCATCTCATACGGGCGTACCACTGAATCATTTGAGCTCCCTCGTCCGTTCTTTTAGACTGCCCCATCTGGTTTTAGATTTGGAGCTCGTGATACACAGGTTTTGTATGTAGAATGAATACATAGACGATCTATAATGATTATATTACATCAATTCATTGACAATTTAACTTCGTGAAAGGCTAAGTTGGCTTATTAGCCCACGGTATGTCAAAGATAGACGGAGGGACAACTGCATCTGCGCGCCTTTGCTCTTCCAACTTCTCCGCAGTTATACGAGCAGCTTCTTCCAATTTCTGTTTTTCCAACTTGTCTGAAGTCCTCCAGGAATCTTCTTCTTCGAATACAATATACTGCACGTTGAGGCTTCGAGATACAGTCCGCAACCAACCAACGATATGACCCAGGAGGTCGTACTCAGTTCGAGCTCGAGTAGTTAAATCGATATACCATTCTTCCCACGTCCCTTCCATGTCAAATCTCTTTTTGCAACTAAAGACTGACATAAACTGCACGGTTTCAGCCTGGTTGCCAGATATCCATCCACGGCTAACAGCTTTTATCAAACACCAAGGAGTGGAAAATGTTCTATGGGAATGTTGTTGGTGCGTAGTACTATTCGATGAGTATTGACATATCAGTCATCGGTCTTTGGGAGAGGGAATGAAAAAGAAAAGTAGCGAAAAATAACCTTTCACGGTATACGTACTACAGGAAATTAAAGTTGAGCATATTCAAACGCGCGGCAATCGTTTTCATTGGCTGGAACATCAAATGTGATTATTTCCATATCTTGAAGAGAGTTCAATTGATTTGGACCCTAGATCTTTGTATGAGATAGGTTCTGTATAGTACCACCATTGTCATTCAAGAATTGCTGAAGATATTGTTTAGCAGGGAATCCTCTCGCGTGTCTCATGCTTTCTAAATAAAAGGTATACTTACCGTATTGGTTTGCCGATTCATTTGCGGTATACTTGGGCTTCACAGGTATTTTGAATAGTCGGTGGTTGGCTTCAAGAGAACCCAGGTGATATATGGTTCAGCTGATTTGTATAAGCTGAAGTCACCTCTGTTGCATCCTCTACAAGATTTTCTAAATGGCCTGCAACCTTTCGAACGTTGGACTGTTGGGTTATCTGGGGAGAGTTCATTTGGGTGTTCGACTTCCAGAAGAGTAGCCCGACAAAAGATTTATTCTCAGAATTGTCGTTATACTTTTCCAGCCATTCCCCACTGACCGATATCAGTCTCCGTCGTAGAATACTTAAAATGGGAGAATGTCGTCTCCCATTTACTTTTGAATGAAGCTTTATTTTGTAACTGAGTACCAGAAGGCATGCTTAACAATCCAAACGTAACCAGCTCGAGCTTACAGACAAAACCAGAGATATCAATAGGGAGAGCGAGCTGTACACATCGATTGAATATGTTTGATATATAACCTAGCATCATACTGAAGCCAAGAGATGATTGAAATAGCTTCCAGGAATGTTGGCTCTTCCACTGTATTAGAACGATAATCTGCTGGTATGGCGAGGCATCGTTTATAGGTGCCCAAGATAGGCCTTGGAACCCAGGAATCGTCGACACATACTCCAAGGACTTTCCTAACAGTGACAGTGCTGAGATAGGTTTTGATCTTTCTAAGATATTGACTCCAGGGCGAAAATACAAATGGAGGATACCAAGGACTGGACAAGCTGGCAATTGGTCGATCTCCTCTGAAAAGTAAGAAATGTTTTGGAAAGATGGTCTGGTTAAGAAGCAGGGGTTGAACATGTTGGAGTCACTTCCCCCCTCAAGTTGATCCTAAGGTTACCTCACTCGAGGTGTTGTTTAAAAGAGAGTGTTGTAAAGTTGCCGAGCCAAAACAATTTCCCAGGCACTACTCGGGGCTCTAGGCCTAGAGCGGGTGGGTGTGTGCAGGTTATAAGACCCCAAACGGCTCCCGAGAAGACTATTTTCTTTTCTTAATTTTCACTGTCTTTCCTTCACGTCGGTACATCAGTGCCATCGCTGGCGGACAAATCGATAACTATCTGCTGGTTTCTTTAGTATGGTAAAAAAACCCAATTTGGTATCCGTCATGTAATATCATCTACCAACTACATAATCTTGCTATCTAATTTCCCAATATCCCTACACCATCAATATACAATAATATATTCTGAAATAATTGACTGTAGCTGCTGTAACTTGAATTATTATACCATATAAGTATGATGCAATCGAAATCGCTTATTAGTGTGTAGTAAAAGCTTCAAGATGAATGTGGGATTTCAACGTTGCGCCTAGGATCTGTTGGATTGTCCCATTAAGCCAGAAAGCCTGCCCAAGTGCTTACTTGGTGGATCTTCTGGATTTACTGCTACGGATACTACATATAACTCTCAGCCTAGTATCTGACGCACATATGCATAATTTGCACCGCTGATGAAGACTATAAGGCGGCCCGGGGGTATTATGAATTGATTTACCTTCCGCAAACCTCTCGTACCGTGATATTTGATCTGGTTGTATTTCTCTGCTACACATATAAAAACCCTAAAAGAACATCTATATGAGTCGTTTGCTGAAACCTTATTGTACCGGGACCATATTATCGTCCGACGCAAAGCGCGATAGCTCCTCGTGCGGAGAGCGGGGTATCTCCAACTCTGGAGCTATTTAAGTGTTTAGCCTAGGACCAAGCCCAACTTGAAACATGAGATAACACTACTAGTCACCCATATCTAAGCAACTTGAAGATAAGACACTTTCGAGACGTCTTCCACTTCTCCTCCGTTGCCGAAACGCCTTTTGTTCTATCTCTTTCTACTACTAGATAGGTCAACAGAGAACGTCTTTCAATTTACACGTTCGGTCTCTTATCAGAGTCAAAGCGCCAGTCAATAGCACAGCAGTCATCATGCCCAAGGAAGATTACGAGACATATGACCTCGGGGATTGGGAGCTTCAAAGTGGAGAAAAGATTAAAAATGCGCATATCGCGTTCAAAACATTCGGCGATCCGAAATTGCCAGCCATATTGTACCCCAGTTGGTTCTCGGGCTGTAAGTTCCCATCGAATCTGTTCCAATTTTTTATTTTTTTGAATATAGAGACGGTCCCCTAACTGTTTATTTTTTCTATAATTCATAGTACTGTCCGACAACTTCTGGCTGATTGGAGAAAACAAGACCCTTAACCCCAAAGAGTACTTCATAATTGTCACTGCCCTTTTTGGGAACGGTCAATCTTCATCGCCATCGAATCAGCCTACGCCTGGGCCATTCCCAAAGGTCGTATTCTACGATAATGTGCGTGCACAGCACGAGCTTATCACTAAGCATTTCGGCATTACCCACTTGCGTGCGGTAGTCGGGTGGTCTATGGGTGCTGGCCAAACGTTTCAATGGGCAACTCAATATCCGGAATTTATGGACTTTGCAGTTCCGTTTTGCGGATCAGCAAAAACCTCTCTGCATAATAAAGTGTTTTTGGAGGGCGTCAAGAGCTCTCTTCTTGGTGTTAAAGGAGTCCGGTCTGCTGGATCTGGGGAAGTTGGAATACAGAAAGATCCGTCGGAGTTCCGGATTTGGACCGCCGAGGAGAAGGAGACTGGCCTCAAAGCGATGGGCAGGGTGTATGCTGGGTGGTAAGAAGAATAAATTACCCCATGGTAGCTTAATATATGACTGGTGAGCTAATACGCAGATTGCAGGGGATTCAGCCAGGCTTTTTACCGGGAGAAATTGTATGAGAATGTCCTGGGATACAAAGGACTTGAAGACTTCATGCAGAATTTCTGGGAGAAATGGGCCTGCTCAAAAGGTATAATAATTTGCCTGATGAATACTTGTCTAGGACTACTTACTTATGATTCAAGACCCCGAAAACCTCCTGGTCATGATCCAAACATGGCAGAACGGCGACGTTTCCCAGCAGGAGCCGTATAATGGAGATTTTGAGAAGGCACTGGCATCAATCAAGGCGAAAACACTTGTGCTTCCAGCCAAGACTGATCTTTACTTCCCGTAAGACTTATTTGTCCCCATCTACTAAAGCATAGGGCACCCAAAGTTAATGCTTGCTACCAGGCCAGAGGATTCGGAATATGAGGTTGCTTGTATGGCGCCCGGTGTTGGAAAGCTTGATATTTTCCCATCTATTTGGGGGCGTAAGTTTTCCCAAATTTGTTGCCTAGCTTTATTAAAAAAATCCCTGAGACTAATGATGCCGTGTAGATTGGGCAGGAGGCCCTGGTGATAGTAAGGAGGACGTGGAGTGGCTGGATAAGCAGCTTGCAAAATTCTTTGCAGAGAGCAAGTCAGACGGCATTGCAGATTTAGTGGAGAAGGTGAAGAGTACACTCCTGTAATGATAGCCTTAGTAGGCCAAAGGACTTTAAGTAAATATCATGAATTAGCCAAAAATGAACCATCTCGAGATGTTTAAGCTGGAGACCGCTGGAGACCGCCCGGGGATAGGATCAGGTGATAAAACTGAGTAAGCGCCGTGCGCACGCATCGTCGGACCTTTTGCATGCTGTCACTTCCTTGCTTTCCTAACCTCTCATTCCTCCTTATTTCTGCTCGGCTGCATTATTTATTTTGTCGCCTATCTTCTCCGATTCGTTTTTATCTCTATCACCTCCCAGGCGCTATTTTAACGCGCGACTGTGACATTCTCCTCGTTATCTAGTCCCCATCTCGATCGCGACAAACTATCACCGAATTCCTCCACACATAGTCACTAAATAGTTACTATGGCTGCACAGCCTACTCGACAATGGGGCGTGACCCCTCCCATATCGACTGTTCTTCCTACAAAAGATGAGCTCGTTGCCAATGATGACCTCATTGCGGAACTGAAGGCGCAGAATAACTTTGAACCCCCAGCCGAGACCGAACGGAGGTACGAATCACCAGTTCCAAGACTTCTATGAGTATACATTGACTCAATTCTCGGCAGACAACAAATGCTGCAGCTACTCCAACGAGTTGCCTTGGAGTTTGTCAAGCTTGTCAGCCGCAAAAAAGGAATGTCACCTGCCGCCGTAGAGGCTGCCGGTGGTAAGATCTTTGCATATGGAAGTTATCGTCTCGGTGTATATGGGCCAGGTTAGTTATATCCCTTGATAATCGACTTTTTTAGTTGAGCTGACTTGGTATTTTTTAGGATCTGATATCGATACCCTTGTCGTTGGCCCGCAACACGTCCTGATCGAAGATTTCTTCGCTGATTTCCCACCCGTTCTCGAGAAGCTGGCGCCAGCAGGCACAATTGAGAAGATGACCCCTGTACCCGATGCATTTGTCCCTATTATCAAGCTAGAGCTGGCTGGGATCAGTATTGATCTGATTTTCGCGCGACTTATTGTTCCCTCGGTGCCCATGAACCTCGACTTGAAAAACAATGACTACCTGCGAGGGCTTGATGAAAAGGAAGTTCGATCGCTCAACGGTACTCGTGTTACTGATGAGATTCTGGAGCTTGTTCCGCAACAAAAGACTTTCCGTCTAGCACTACGTGCAATCAAACTTTGGGCGCAAAGTGAGTCGATATTACGTGGCCTGATTCCCCCCTCCAAGATGATTTGACTGACAATCCGGTTGAATAGGACGTGCTATCTATGCCAACATTGTCGGGTTTCCCGGAGGTGTTGCATGGGCCATGTTAGTGGCTAGAGTCTGCCAACTGTATCCCCAAGCCACTGGCTCGGTTATCGTAGGCAAGTTCTTCCGGATCATGAACAAGTGGGCGTGGCCGCAGCCTGTCTTGCTCAAGCCTATAGAAGATGGTCCTTTGCCAATGAAAGTTTGGAATCCCAAGGTAAGCCTCACTGTGTCTGAACTGACTCTGATAGCCTGACACGCTCTAATCCTTTCCCACTTTTTAGATCTACCACGGCGATCGTTTCCACCTCATGCCCATAATCACACCCGCCTACCCTTCCATGTGTGCAACACATAATATTTCCATGTCCACAAAGGCTGTTCTTCTCCGAGAGCTCCAAAGAGGTGGTGATATGGTGGACAAAATCTTCATGAAGCAACTCTCCTGGAATGACTTATTCACACGCCATACCTTTTTTACAAATGCTTATAAGTACTATCTCAGTATCACGGCCTCGAGCAGGACGAAGGAGGCAGAAGGCGTCTGGTCTGGTCTAGTTGAATCGAAGCTGCGTCACCTTGTCGGAGCCCTCGACAGAAAGGCCGTCATCGCAGTCGCCCACCCTTTCCCTAAAGGATTCGAGCGCATCCATATCATTCAAAATGAGGAGGAATTGGCTGCTGTAAAGACCGGATCCACCAAATACCAAGCTAGTGGAACAACAACGGAGATGACCGATGAAACCAACGACGCTGCTCACCAAGCTGCGGCTCAGAACGGGGCTGAGAATGTGACAGTCCCAGAGCCGGCAGAGAAGCCCGCTGAAACAAATGGTGGACAAACCGTTTATACCACGACGTACTATATCGGCTTGGAACTGAAGCCGCTGGAACCAGGTATGAACTATTTCTAGCTTACGTGTTATATTACAATTATCAACAGATGTCTCAATAGAAACCCCACGACACCTGGACATTTCGACCGATTCCCAGATTTTCAAATCCACCTGCACTTCATGGCCTGGATACCAAGCCGATGTCATGGACTTGGCCGTTACTCACGTTCGCAGGTGAGTTACCAAGTCGCCTTTTGACGCACAATGGCGGTTTATTGACGACACACAGTTTCGATTTGCCGGATGATGTCTTCCAGCCTGGGGAAACCCGACCGATTAAGAAGAAGGCCACAACAAAGAAAGCCAAGTCAGCCAACGCATCCGCCCAGGGCCAGAAGCGAAGACTCGACGAGTTGGACGTAAGTACAAAGAAGACAGCAAAGGCGAGGGAGCGTGACTCGGCATCATATCGAAACTAAGCTCGCCTCTCCACGTTTCGTTCAGAAGGTTCCCATAATGCCAACAATTAGGAAAAACTAATATCATTTCTTCGCATAGAATCAATCTCAAGGTACTGCCAAGCGCCAAGTTACTCCCAACACCATGTCCGGTGCTCCTACCCCTGCATGAAATTGATATGCCACCTTCGATCACAAAGTTACCAACATCACATCGGGGCCGGTCCCCGCTCAATTCTAGCATCCACGTGTTCGAATAATGACATGGATGTCCAACACTAATATGCCAACAACATCTCATCAATCCCTGAATTTGATTGCTTGCCACCCGATGGCAACCTCGCGTCGACCCTCTGCGCTCACAGAGCACAAGGTTGGTTCTCTCCATTTCCCCTTCACCCCCAGATATACAGGGCAATTAGGCTAGAGGCACTTTACTCAGAAGTCCCAGTGTACCCATCTCATGGGCCCTATCTCCGACCTTCATATTTCTTTGTGGCGTTGCACCACCTGTCGAGGTAGTAAATTCTCGACTTTGACAGTGATGATCCGCATTGTATTATTATCCCAGGCCCATGCAGATTGCAGATAGCTCAGCTAGAGTAGTCTAATTCAAGACATTTTCCCCCCGTGGGTGGGTGAAGCGTAACCTTGTTTGCTTAAATCTATCCAGTAATTTCCAAAGCATGCTACGGCTATAATAGTCCGGGCTATATGGCAAAGCCGCATGTACTATGATCTATCTCATAATTTAAAAGATTTGCATTGGAAGAAAAGCCCTTCCCGTTTGAGACTTAGCCACTGAAGTAGAATGCAATAAGTTCCAGAGCACACGTCCATCATACCGATTACTGATCCTTGGCGGTATAGAACGGCTTTCCTAGTCTTTTGTAAAGCTTGTACTCGCGCGGTTTGACAAACATTGGTTCCGTAGCAGCAAAATATGGCTTATAATATTCCTTCTGCAGTTGTGTCTACGATTTAGATTAGATACAACACATTCGACAAAGAAATACTTTCAGATATGCTTCTTACCTGAACAAGCCATTCGGGAGTCGCATCCCTGCAATAATAATGTCAAATTCGAACAATTCCAGAGGTAAAATGACAATAAAATACCAGTTCTCCACCCAGCTCAAGGTTCCAAGCTCTTTTGGATCTTGATATATCTCAAAGAATCGACATTCTGGTTCAGCAACAACAGCATCGTAGACCGGCTTCATAAGTTCGAAGAATTTCTCTACATTGGAGGGGTCAATGTATATTGTAACGTGGAGGCTTATACCGGGATTGGATGTCATGGTTGATTTGGAAAATATTTGGAGTAAAGTGTGTAAGTTGTATGAGATGGTTGGGAACTTGAACCAGGCGAGGCTGCCGAGGAGTAGTAAGTGTAGTTTAAGTATGATTTTCCAAGGTTAATACAAGGCTCGGATCCGAAGGCTGAGCCGTTCCCCGCTCAGCCCCTAATACAGTGTATGACTAGTAGTAAAGTCTCATCGATTTCAACTGTAAGGCTATGGAGAACTTGAAGTATCCAATGGGATTGGCGCGGGTAGCTTACATTATTCATGTCGGCGTTTTCTGACTTCTGTTACAGAGATATGGCCATTGGTGCCATTGCATTCGAGTCTGCTTCCAAGGTTGGTATGCATAAGAGTGGCGGAATAATCCGGCCAGTCTCGCAATTAAAGCCCTTTTGGGACATGATACAGTCAAACCCCGATAATAGTACACACCTGCTTATAGTACTGGCTCTGCTTAGATAGATCTACTTTTATAGGTTTTATCATACAAAACCTCCACTTAAAGAACACTTACCTTTGTACACCTCTTTTTAACTACGTTACAAATTACTACTTAGTAATCGACTAATATGGGCACCCGCCCATCTGCCCAGGTACCTGTGCATGGTGGGCTGAGACCTGGGTACATAGTAACAGCCCCAGCCCCAGCCCCAGCCCCAGAGTGGAGCCCAAGTTTGCTTGGTAACTTGAAGGTCAGTTTTCGACTGTAAATCACGTTAACTATTGTACCATTCACTTATTGTACATGGTTTTCCTTGGATGGTAGGCTGTACTATAAGCGGGCTTTGACTGTATATCCTTTTCAAGAGTCCGGATGGCTGAAAATTGTTTATTATGATTATCCATAATTTAAGGTCTATATAGACGTCTTAAATGAATAGAGTGTTCAAGTCCGAGTAAACAATAATGTAGACTGAATGGGACTAGTGTGTCAATGGTTATCAAGCGTTTAACTTGAACTTGAACATGGACCCCAGTCACGGATACTAGTATTAATTTAGATTGCTTGTACCGCGAGAGGCTGATATCCATGTTCAAGAAGCTCTATTTCATCCGGCGTGAGCTCAATATCCAAAGCCTCCAAGACTGCCTCAACCCTCTCAATGCTGTTTAATCCAACAATTGGACAAGCCCCCTTTTGTAACAACCAAGCCATTGCAATGGAGCTCATTGCACAACCTTTCTTCCGTGCTAGCTCTTCAACTTGATTGACAATAGCTTCATTTTGATTTCCCACGAACCATTTCTTCGTTTTCTGATCCTGGCCTTGACGGGCAGACTTCTCCTGCCATGGTCGCGCTAGAAGACCTCGTGCCAAAGGGCTCCAAGGAACAAGACCAACACCTTCCGCCTCGCAAAAAGAATTCATTTCTCTTTCCTCCTCACGATAAAGAAGATTATAAAGACCCTGCATGCTCACAAAGGTATTCCATCTGTTCATCTTTGCCGTATACTGCAGCCGTGCAAATTCCCAGCAATGCATACTTGAAGCACCTAGATATCGGACCTTGCCCATCTCAACTAGATCATGCAACGCACGCATAATTTCCTCAGGTGGCGTTTCCGAATCTAATCGATGAAGCTGTAGCACATCGATATAGTCGGTGTCGAGTCGGCGCAACGATCCCTCCACTGCGTCGAAGATATGCTTCCGACTGAGTCCCATCTGGTTTACCAGATGTCCATCGTTGATAGCAGGGCTAGGTCTTGAGTTTAAGTTTAGTTCATCTTCAAGAACTGGATAATAGACCTTTGTCATTATCACCACTTTGCTTCGTAGGATAGAGTGCTTCTTGAGCGCTTTCCCAAGAATTCCTTCGGATTGACCGTTAGAGTATGTGTTCGCTGTGTCGAAGGTGTTGATTCCTAGATCGAAGGCTCTTTTTAACAGAGGTAGTGATTTTTCTTCGTCCAGGACCCATGGTGAGCCTTCCCAATCTGGGTTGCCGTAGGTCATACACCCAAGGATTATTCGGGAGACTTTGAGTCCGCTATTTCCGAGTCGTTGATACTGCATCTGCTTAGACGCATGGACGGTTTTACTCAATGTCATGGACCCCATTGTAGCTTTAGGTAGGGTGATGCTTCATTCTATCAGTGTTGGCCAAGTTGGGGCTTATCTATATTTCTTTATACTATTCCATCGGTGCTTAGCCGCGTAATGATACTCCTTGGCTCGGGGATCTCTCCGCTCCTACTAAGATACAGGTCGAAAGTAAGAAATGTAGTCATCTCTGTCTTAAACTTCTTTGTCTCGTTGTGTTGCTTCAATGCCCGCACCTTGCCAGTGGGGAGTTTCCCCATCTTTGGCCTATATGTTTACGATCAAATTATTGAATATTTCAAGTTTTAAAAATTCTTGATCTCGTTCAAAATATCAATCACACAATAATAATCTAGCTCATCTCATTTGACATCATTCCCGGAAATGTAAACTCCCCAAAGTCTTGTAATAAAAAGTCATCTACAGGCGTAACCAGCGACTCGCCAGGAAATGTAAATGAGCCTGGGACTGGATGCATCGGCCTATCCATATCCTGAGATTGATATACCAATGCATTCAAAGATGACATTGATGGGACACCCTGTTCCCCGTCCCTTCGTAGGGAGGCAACGCATTCGTGAAGCTTGCGCGTGAGACCTGGGGTCATTCGGCAAATAGGATGCTGTTGTACACTAGGTGTGGCCTGAAACAATTCTAATACCTTTCGAATCAACTCAAAATCTTGAGTTGGATTGATTGAAAGCTGTGTATAGTAGTTCTTTGAGACTTCCAGTAGGAAATGACCTGCAAATGCAATCATAATATGAAAATAATGCGGCATGCCAACGAGACTATGCTGGAGATTTTCCTCGTGGAGAATCATTTCAAAAATCGCGACAGCAGCTTCATGGGCCATGTCAGCTGCTGTGATAAAATGAGACGGAATTGCCTCTCTGTTGAGGCCTTTGAAGACTTGATGTCCGAGGTACAGCTTCCCAAAATGGTAATGTAGCTGTAGGCCGCGCTTAGGAAAATCTCCAATATAAGGATCAGGCTTGAATATTGCGGAGAACTTGTTGAACCATCGGTCCAGCTGGCGAGAGTAATGAATAATCTGATTTGATAGCGACTGTGGTATCCGTGCTTCTTGATCAGAGCCCAGCAAGTCTCGCACTTGACTCATAATGACTAACAGAGCAACTTGGGAAATAAGTCGAATGTCAGAATCGGTGGTGTCATCACGAGCTAGGAAAGTCTCCCAGCTCAAAGCTATCTCCTTGTCACTGCGAAGAAGTGGATCGCGATTGTGAAGAATGGAGAGATGCTGATCGGATATGAAAATAAGGTACCATAGTCTGACCCGATCCTTTATCGTCATTGTTTCGGTTAAACTTGAAGTTGGAGAGCTATGATTTTGGACCGGTCGCATATCACTAGGATTTGCAAGATGATCAAAGCTGCGATGTAGCCGCATGTCCGCTGCACGGCGAATGGCGTCACTAGAGAGTATCCGAGAGGCATCTGAAAGCCAAAACGAAGTGATACATAGAGCACGGACGTATTCAAGATTATGTTTCTCGAAAATTGATCGCGACATCAGCCGTCGGAACTCACGGTTACATGTCTCATAAAGCGGTTGACTTTGGGGATCTTGTAATGCGGAAATTGTGCAGACTGCAGCGAATAGCAGTGGTGATGTGCTTCGAAGTTGCTGAACGCTATGATAGCCGCTGCAAATTCCATACAGGTAGGGATCAAGACGCGTGAGATAGCGCTCAACGAGTGTCTCGGCGACACTCAAAGTGATGACACCTTTAGTGACGAGATCTTGCGATGGTTGATGTCTTTGTCGGGGAATACTCGGTGGAGTATTGGTAGAGGAGCCCGGACTTCCAAGCTTAGCAATATCCAAGTATGTGTCGATAGGTGCTTGAACGGCGGAAGGCGTGTCCGGTGGGGATATTTCACAACCATCAAGATCTTCTGGGTCACGTTCTAGTTCTTCATTCTGTACTTTATCCCCATTAAGGGGGTCATCGACAGCAGAACTGAGTGGATTCGGTAGTGGCAAGTTGAGATGCCTGCATAGGTCTCCCAGCACGTGGTGAATATTCTGCACATCACTCTGTAGATGTTCGGTGTTTCTGAGGGATCGTGTTAACATTGAATACTGTTTAGATAAAAGCTTCAACCGGCTAAGAGAAACTCCGACATACTTGACTTCCTCTACCAATGATTGGAGACTTTTGTTCAAAACACATGAGAGTCCTCGTCGGCGACATCGCGTACAAGGTGCTCCTTCGCTCATGTCACATTTGATCTAAATTGATTTTTTAGTCGGTCCAATCAGTTGAGATTCAATTCGATTACTCACCTTTTGCTTCCTACAAGCTCCACACGCAGTGATCTTGCGGGTAATCCCCGGCAAAACATCCAACACCCCGGGGTCCTTCGCATCAGGGAGTTCAACGGCAGGACTCGTGCTCGGCAAGGCCTCCGATGCCTCATCGCTCCAAATTCGCTTTCTCTTTGTCATGATTTGTTCGTGGATTCCGTCTTCCTGGTCCTCAAGTTTGCATTCCGACGGATAGTAGAACGACAGTGGGCCGGTGAGTACCCCGACGGGCTTTATCTACCAGCGAGAGGGGCAAATTCAAAATCCGCCCTGATAAAATGCCCCTATTCTATTCGCCAAGTAAGCATTCTATGAACAAGGACCAGGTGGCTCAAGAAAGGTATGATCGGCCTTTTACCCCGGAGCTTCTCCACTCCCCACCTCGGCCACAGGGCTGATTGGAACCTGCTCGAGCTCCCCGCATCAGTGGAAAAGACTCCGGGGCGGAAACATCGGAGAAATACCGAGCTGACTTGCGAGCTAGCAGACACGAATTGCAAACCATTGCGATTCTAAAATTCAGATTACCATAAGAAAAAGGTCAGGAGGTCACCTTGTTGCCAACCAGAAATCGAAATATACTCAAATCGGGAGACGCCATGCCATCATCTACCATCGCACCCAAGTCTAAACCTCTCCCACAGGGTATTTACCCACCCGTCATTTCGCTGTACAAGGCCACGCCTCGCCAAGAAATTGATCTAGATGCGTCTTGCAAGTTTTTTTCACATTTGATCCGAGGAGGGGTTCACGGTCTTGTGTTAGCTGGAACTAATGCAGAGGCCGCTCTGCTCTCTCCCGAGGAACGCAAAGAACTAGTGAAGGTCGCGAAGAAGGCTGCCGCAGATCTTGGTCGCCCTGATTTAGCTGTGATTGCTGGAATTAGTGGTCAATCAACAAACGAGTCAATTCGCCTGGCTGAAGATGCATTGAGTGCGGGCGCTGATTACGGGTTGTTACTCCCGCCAAATTATTGGGCCAAAGCTGTCACCAAAGACGTAATTCTCAGTTTTTATCGCGATGTTGCGGATGCGACCGCACTTCCGATCGTTATTTATAGTGTAAGTTGGACAACTAGGCCACCTTTTCTCTCAAATTCGGAACTGACCATGTTTATTATCATCTTTTTAGTTCCCTGCGGTATGCAATGGCATTGACATGAACTCAGACACCCTATCCGAGCTTGCAGAACATCCGAACATCGTTGGTGTCAAGTTAACCTGTGGAAATGCCGGAAAAGTGACAAGGCTCACTGCGGAATATACTCATGCCCAGTTTGGGGTTTATGCGGGCTCTTCGGACTGGTTACTTCCTTGTTTAGCTGGCGGAGGAAGTGGATGTGTGACTGGCATCGCCAATATCTTCCCAAAGTCTGTCGTTCAGCTATATGAATTGTGGAGCTCAGGGAGATTTGAAGAAGCGAAACAGTTGCAGGGATTTATAGCCCAGGCTGAGAAGGCATGTAAGGAAGGCATTGCGCCTACGAAGTATGGAGCCTTTCATTATGCTGGTCCGACTGCTGGATTGAATGATCCAAAAACCTTCTGGCCTCGCAAGCCATACACACCTTGTGGATCAGACAAAGCTGCTTGGGTAGAGAAAGTGATGGAGCATTTGGTGAAAATTGAGGGAGCCTTGCCTGATGCTGTATAGATTCTAAGTTAGCTAGCCATTATTCTAATAAAGCATCGAAGTTCCTCCAAAAGCATGCGCCCTTCTATTGAGTAAAGATCCAACTATGGCAATTGGTAGAAATGTCTTACTGAAAGCGATTCAATGGTTAAAACTTGAATTGTGAATAGATACATGTGTCTATGAAAAGAAGTCTTCTCTAAGTCTAACATACTTGATCCTCTGTCTCCAGTAGGTGAAAGCAATATGGAACACACCTTCCTGAGCAAGGATACTCGGATAGGAGAGCTCACGGTTAAGTCTTTTCTGACTGTTGTTTGTCAGACAGTAACCATCACCTTCCTCTAACTTTTTCCATTTCCAAGTTTCTCCATTATCATCACTCCAGGCAACAGATAATGGTGCTCGAGGAGCACCCCAGAACGCCTCTTTCCCATGCTTGTTCACTTGGTTCCTACGAGTGTCGGTACCGTCACTAATATCGTCATACAGTCCATCTCGTCGACCGATGGCATCCTCCTTCGAAGAGTGATTATACACAAGAACCACTCGACCAGAGGGCAAGACATCGAAGCATATTCCCGCATTGGGATTGGGTAGAATGGTAGCTTTTGGCTCGCTCCAATCAAGTCCATTGGGAGATGTTGACAAATAGATATTATCTGCCCAGCGACTCCGATATAGACCGAGGTATGAGCCGTTCTTCAGTTGCTGAATATTCATATGCACACACCCATAACTGTTCGGAATTTCTTTTTCGGACCATGTTTGGCCATTATCTCGGGAGTAACGGACGCATGAGATATCGTCACTCCCTAGCCACCGCTCCCCGGGTTCAGCACGACATTTGAATATAGGGACGACCCATGTCCCATCTTTGAGCGTGATTATTGGCTGACGAATAAATGTACCACGATCACCGAATAAGACTGCAGGTTCTGACCAATTTGTTCCATTGTCGGATGATATCAGCTGTTTAACGACTGCTGAATCTTGGTTCCCAGCATCTTGAGACGTATAGAGCAATCTGATCTCCACGGTGGATGGAATATGGAACAGGACAGGGTTTTGCTCGCTTCTAGTATGATCGTGGGTCATTTTTATTGCTGGACTCCACGCAGCCTCCCATGATGGAAGTCGCGATATGTATATGCAGATGTCTGGTCGACCCTCAATGCTGCCGCCAAAATAAGCGCATAGCAAGTCTCCATTAGGGAGAAGAAGGAGATTCGAGGCGTGGCATTGCTCAGTGATGGTTGGAATATAGGCTTCGGAATATGAATAGGGCCGATTAGAAGCCAAATTAATGGAAGGTTGATAGTCGGGCTCTTCGCTGTGAGCATTCGTGGCCATGGTGTTGTATGGCAGGTCTAAAGGGAGTGGGAAGGTGTTTGAAAATTCAAATAACCTGGAGCTCAAAAGCTGGAAGTGGATTAAAAAGCTCTTATCTTATCTCAATCATTTTCTGCCTGATTAAGCTTGAGCAAAGACGTACCTCAAAGTCGGAAAGTCGGAGAGGTCTCCAACGAACAGAGAATGGTACTAAACATCGGTGGAAAAACCGACTCTGCACTCTCTCCACTTCCCCACGGGGATAGTGGATCTTCTTTGATAGGACACCCCGCTGTCTGTATTCGCGACCAAAGGCCAATAGTGAATACTCTATTTGCATTATTGAGAGCACTATAAGTTCCAGCATTCGATTTCTGCAGAAACCTTTTGGTTTTCAATTTCAATCTTTCGACCTCAAACACCCTACACCAACAGGATATGGCGGGTACAACAAGTATATGGATCAGTAACGAGGCGAAGTCTGATCCAAAGGCCATTTTCAATGTCAGGCTTCTGTACCTACTATTTGCTGTTGCATGGGGTGGTGTCTTCTATGGATTTGATACTGGTAATATTGGAGGGATTCTTACCCTCTCATCATTCAAACATGCGTTTGGGATGAATGATATGACCGAAACCCAACTGGATAATCGAAAGGTCAGTTTCAATATATCCTTTTATTCCTTGGGCCAGCAACATCCACTTACAATAACTAGGGAACCATCGCTTCGATGCTAGCGGCCGGTGGATCTGTAGGCGCATTGCTTGCAGCTCCAACTTCCGACTACCTTGGCAGGAAACGGTCTGTGCTTACTTGGGCTTTTATTTTCATTATTGGGGCCATAATGCAGATGATTGCAGACTACAAAGTGCTTTTGGGCGGTCGATTCATCTCAGGGATGGGTGTTGGTGCTTCCTCAATGCTCACACCACAGTTCCTCTCCGAGAATTCACCAAAGTCCGTTCGAGGTGCAATGACTGCTACATACAATCTGATGATTGTCACTTCTCTTATGCTAGCATTCTTCATCAACTATGGCGTCTCTAAGTGGTCGTTTCCAGGCGTTGATGAGGATTACACGCAGTGGCGTGTCGCGATGGGCATTCAAATAATCCCTGGTGCGCTTATGTGTATAATGATTCCATTTGTCCCCGAGACACCTCGCTGGTTGATCAACCACGGAAAGCATGAAAAAGGTCTCCAAAACATTTGCAGGCTGAGGAAACTGCCCGCAGAACATGAATATGTTCAAACAGAATATCGCGAAATCCAGGCTCAGGTAAATCATGAGCAAGAATGCTATAGTGGGCATAACTACTGGGTTGTGCTGAAAGATGTTTTCACATCACGAAACAATTTCCAGCGATTCTTTTTGGCAGTTATGATATTCCTGTTCCACAAGTTGACTGGAACAGACTCCTTGAATGTGAGTTCTTTATGCTGCTTTCGGTGATCAAATACTTATAATCTTTGGTACAACAGTACTACGCCCCAGAGATATTTGCTATGATTGGTGTGAAAGGTGGATCAACTACTTTGCTTGATACTGGTATCTACGGTGTTATCAAAGTAGCTACCTCTCTTTTCTACGTACTATATCTCATTGATCGAGTCGGACGCCGTGTTCCTCTCCTAATTGGCGCTTCAATCCAAGCCACTGCCATGTTATATCTCGCACTTTACCTACGATTCACAGGCGAAATCGAGGACAGTGAAGGAAGTGGCACTTCAGCGGGGGGGATTGTTGGAATTGTTTGGATCTATATATACGCGTTTGGATGGTCATTTGGCCACTCTGTGGCACCTTATGTTCTTGCAGCAGAGGTCTTCCCGACGAGAATAGTAAGTCTACATCTCGGGCCAAGATTGTGAAACTATATGGCTAAATTTGCGCTAGCGATCATTTTGCATGGCAATCTGTCTGTTTACAGATTGGATTGTTGATTTTGGAATCACGCGTGCCACGCCGAACATGATTGCAGAGATGGGATGGGGCGTATTTCTGCTATATGCGCTGTTGACCTACCTTGGGGTGGTATTCATCTATTTCTGCATGCCAGAGCTGAAGGGTCGGTCAATTGAAAGTATGGACAATCTTTTCGACCGGCCTCTTTGGACAATGTGGAGACACGCTTATCCCACAGAAGAAGAAAAGGTCCGCTCGGATGTCCGGGACAATTTGGCTGAGAAGATGCAGTATCAAGAGGATGATGTTAAACAGGACCATGTACATGTCGAGAACGTATGAGATAACTTGTTTGAAAGGTTGAGTTATGACATTGCATTACGTGTTATGAATACAGTCAAATTTGATCTATGATTTAAGCGTAAGCAGAAGTTAAAGCTCTCAGGTGGACTGAGCATTAAAAATCGGGATAAGTCCGGTCGCTCCTCGGTCTTATCACGACGGGGTTCTCTCCGGTTGATCATCATGTCATTCATAGCTTTAGAGGTATGGAGCGCTAAAGCTGATGATAAAAGAAAATCAAATCAAGATCATTCTAAATCAATTACTTCACTCAATTCTCAAAGCTCAAGATGGCAAATGAAGTTAAAACTAAGACATTCACGTTGAACACGGGAGCTCAGATTCCCGCCATCGGGTTTGGCACTTGGAAGGCTGCACCAGGTGAAGCAGCAGCGGCGGTTAATGCTGCATTCGATGCGGGTTACCGTCATTTTGTATGTTTCAATAGACAAACCTACATCTCCAAGCAATGATGGCTGAAGATACTGACATTTTAATATAGGACTGCGCTCCACTCTGTATGTCTTGGGACCTCCGACCGTAGTGTTAACTGAGGAAAGGCTGACTAGTGACAGATGGGAACGAACCAGAGATTGGTCAAGTTTTGAAGAGCATAAATGTTCCAAGAAACGAGTATTTTGTGACAACCAAGCTGTAAGACACCTGCATTACACTATACATCCTTGGATATCCCAATGCCAAAGTCTCACCATCGCTGCAGCTGGTCTTCTGATCATCGTCGAGTCACCACTGCACTTCAAAAGTCACTCGACGACCTCTGTTTGGATTATGTAGACCTTTACTTAATGCATTGGCCTGTCACACTCCCTACGGCTGGCCCAGAGACCTACGGGAAAGAGGACCGTACAGTTCATGATCCAGATTGGGATTTCACCGACACATGGAGGGAGATGGAGAAGCTCCTACAAACCGGAAAGGTCAAGGCTATTGGAGTTGCAAATTTTTCATCTTTAAATCTTGAAAAATTGCTAAAAAGCTCCAAAGTTGTTCCTGCTGTTAACCAGACGGAGATCCAACCGTTATTGCCACAGAAGAGGCTGAATAAATTCTGTGTTCAGCATGGCATTCATCAAACTGCTTTTGGCCCCCTGGGCGGAAGTGGCAGTACGTTACATGAAGATACAGTGGTCAATGAGATTTCAACGAAAAGGGGTTGTAGCTCGGGCAATGTGTTACTGAGTTGGGGCGTGCGGAAAGGATGGAGCGTCATTCCTAAAAGCATCAACCCCACGAGGATCGCTGGTAATCTGCACGGCTGCTTTGAAATGAGTGATCAAGAAACAGAGCAGATAGACGCATTGGTTGATACACTTGGAGGGAAACGATTCAATGTTCCAAATTGGGGGACTATTCTGTTTCACGATGATTATGACAGCCCCCCGCAGTAGATCTTGGCAATAAACATGGAAAAATATTAAATTTTTTAGATTAATCTTACACAAAGCTTCTTTTCCTTGTACCGTGTACTAATACATGTTTGTTTATTCAGCCGTTTTGAAGTAATAAATGGGCTTGCTTCATGATCACATCCCTGGTAAAAATAAGCGACGACAAGGGTGCCAGCTCGGGAAGCGATTGGTTCACGGGCAAGAAAGCCTTGTCAGTCACCTCGAAGATATCAGCTGCTTCTTTAATAAGCCAATTACCTTGTACATTGCTTATTCTCGATGCGCCATTTCATGCCTGGGTGTTTGAGAGTACCAGGCTGCTACAAAAGATGACGCCTAGGAGCTCTAGAGGTAGCAGAAGTTAACGACTTAGTTGTTATTGTACGTGTGATTATTATTTCAGTACCAAATTGACTGCCTACTAGCCAAAGTCTATAGAATGGTATTTTAAACAGTAGTAGTAGAAGTTCACATGCAATGGAAAGACTAAAAAGACAGGGTTTCATCAAGACCCAAACAGCACAGCCCGTACTTGTACCTCGTATTGGCACATGCGGCGTATGCAAAGAGACCAAAGCATGGACCCTGTCAAAATATCCAAATAAAGCATTGTAAATCATTCCTTCATCAAATTGATGAGGCTTCTTCAACTTCCACGAACCCGCCATTCGAATTCATCTAAATGCATTGAAAACAACTTGGAACAATGGAGAATTCTATATCGAACTCGACGCAGCTCACGAAGATCAAAGGGGCCCTGTCATCCGTCAGCTTTGGCGGCAATTTGATTGAAGTTGCCGCCCTAACATCGTTGATCGGGTCAACCGCCGCAGAATCGCTTGCACTGGGCGACAAAGGACCTGCTGGCCTAGTATGGGCAATGATGACTGTTTTCGGGGCCATCCCGGTGGTGCGACTATTCATCGCGACTACAACTCCGGGCTGGCTCCGCGAAAGTATGGGCGTTAGCAATGCCAAGTCAGATGCTGTGGTAGGGTTGTTCCAGAACACCGATGCAGCTTTCAGGTTTCAAGATCGCAAAGAGCCTGCAACAGCCGTTGAGTGTGAAATGAGGGTTTGGATGCTCTTTTCCTCTTACTTTCTGGAGTCATATCCTAATCTTTCATAGAATGCTAGAACTGCGGACATGAAAGATTCCCCGATGGACTCCAAACGTCGATTCGTATATGTGTTTAACCAGCGCACGATCCATATTTTGAACTGTATCCCTTTCAGCCTCCCTGGTGACGATCTGAAAGTTTACTCTTTTGTCGAGGACCCATGGCGGGATAAGAGATATGCTTCGTGGTATACTTATCTCGACTGGGGTCTTCTTGCTCTCTCAGCGGTGGGAAAGCTAGGGGAGTTTACCCTCCTCTGGAGGTCTGATGCTCATATGCTGGCTTGGGTGAGTCTCTCTACTTGGTCATTCTTCTTCTCCGCTGCCCTCATCTTGCGGCTTCATAGTCTATGGGGATCTTCCCGAAAGTCGGAGGTGGACATAATTACTGGTACTCTCCCAACATGCTCTTCACCGGGAGGAGATCGCAAGATTCTGCTTGGGATACCCAAGAGTGTGCGTGTTCATGTTCTTTGGAGAATTATCTGGGGCTTTGGTGTTTTTGTCGGCATCGCTACTGTTGGCACTACATACTTCGCGCTTAGTCAGTATACCAGCAACGAGGCCTTCTTGATCTGGGTTGCATTCCAGGCCCTATGGCTCAGTACACGGTCTGCGCTTTACTACTTTCTTAGCAACCGAGAAGGTCAGTATCATGTTGGCCTAGAAGGCAAGCCTTGGGGCAAGGTGGATGTGCAAGACAGAGCCAGGATACGTCATCTTGTTTACACACTATCAAAATACCAAATACAACTTCACCCTCGATCGCCACTTAGTTATGAAGACGACATTCTTATGCCGGAGAGGGTGGAAAATCTTCAATCAGTATACCCTGCATCTCCTGGAGATAAGAACGTTAGTCTCTCAATTTGCGGCGTTATCCCCGATACCGTTCTTTCAAGTGCATCGTGGGTATTTGGATGCAAGGAAGGTGGATTCGATTTTTATGACACTTGTATCATCGTCCTTAATACTCCCACAGGCGTCATCTCTATACCTGCCGCCCGGGCACTTTCTACACGCCCGCTCAATGCGATACCTGAGATTGATTCGGAAGAAGGCGTTGACTTGATTCATTTACCTCGTGGTGGCTCACTACCTCAAGGCAGTGTAGCGCTTAAAGACAATGGCATTGAAGTGAAGTGGTGCTACTGGATTCCATGCTCTGAGGGACGCTGGCTGTACTTTACAACTGAACAGACAAAAAATCGTGGATCCAAGGATGCGGCCATCCTGTCAGATTTGGAGGTCACTGATTTACTAAACAACGGGAGGGTAATCAATATCAGCTTGAAGCACGTTGATGAAGTAAAGGAAATTTTGCACTATTCGACGTTGGCTTGTGGGTATCTTCTGAATTTGCTGAGATAATGACTCTGTGAACGAATTAATCATTGATGTGTTGGAAGTTTATGAAGCATACTACATCATCAGCTTCAACTTGAAGTCCGCAATAATTGGGCTCTTTTAGATGCCAGAGTAAATAACCATTTTCATTTTTGAGTTCCCCTCAGCTTTTAATCTTTAATAATTATTTTTGGAACGAAGGGACCCCAATACTGTCTACAAAGAAGACGTAAAAACAGCATTCGCTATAAAATTGATTGAAGCAAGGGGTTCGCAAATTTTACTTGGCCTTTACTTGGAAATAACCCAGCGAGTTCAAGTTGCATATACTAGTACTTGACCATCCAATGTTCCAGTCAGTGGCCCACTATGTGTTCCAAGGCTGTGAATCGCCTTGACGACCTTGGAATCCGCAATTGCGAATCTCGCATCGGATGGGGATACCATCAGATTAGATGCCTCCCTTGAGATATCCTGTTCTGGCCATATCTTGTAGGCCTGTGGACATCATGGCCACCGTCGTAGTCTTGGACAACAAAGTTGAAAATAAGTTGGTATTCAACAGTCTCTACCGAGTTGATATATGTATTAACTCTTTACATGGGGAATATCTTAATTGTTTCTAATTCTTCTCCGCGAAATGAATGTGATGGATTTTCGATTAGCTTCTCCGGTTTTGGGAAACCTATTCAGCGGATTTAGTAGAAGAATTTCTAGTAAATAAAATGGTAGTATTATATATTTATTTCTTTTAAAACTAGATAATTATAGAGATAACCCTAAGCTAAATATAAGATATTATATTTCTAGATAAGCTTTAAATGGAGAATATTAATTAAAGAAACTAATCTTAAATTAAGTTATAATATATATAAAATAAAGTATAATTATATACCATTTTATAAGTATTTTAATTCTTTAGAATCCTTTTTATTCTCTATCTCGTTGATTGATTTTAGCTTATCCTTACTATATTTATTAGTCCCTATCTTTTCTTAGATAGTTAGTTATAATATATATTATAAAATAATATAATATAAAAACTATTAATTAAGTTTTGATTTATTCTATTACATCATATTGATATAAATTAATAAATTTCTTTTAAGTATATCCTTTAGCTAAAATTTTCAAGTAAATAGAATAAATAAGTTTTTTAATCAGTAGAAGATAATAGTAGAAATTAGGTAGTAGAGTAGAGGTCTTAAGCTTTTAAACTGATCTAATTGTATAATCCTCTGACGCCTAGCTGCGTGGGCTCAGCTAACGCCCCGAGGAGTCTATATTGCTGTATCGGATGCCTACTGAGCTTGTTACGCAGGCCTTAGCCTAAATCGATGAGGTAATCTTTGAAGTAGGAGAGATATATGACCTAAAAGGCCACTCTGATATCTTATGGAGCCCCTTGTGGGAAAAATGAATTAATTCTAAGTTATCTAGTATAACGTGAACTATAATATAGGGGTGATGTAGTTGTTTCTTTGTGATTGGAAGGTATTAGATGTAGATGTGATTATAGTATAAGACCTATAGTAAAATATTTTCTCTAATACTATATACTAATTGGCGTTAGGGTAGTTTGTAATGGTTACTAAGTTGTCAGGCTAGAGACCTGTGACTAGGCAAGGATATCGGATAGTAGAGATCAAATAGAACAGTTGATACACAGAATTGATTCTTGCAGGACAAGAATCGTAGCTATTGTTCGTGCGTTTTAATATTGCTAGAGCTTGCTAGGGCTTAGGGCAGTCATGCATTAGCGGGTGTATCGAGGTAGATTCGCCCGCGGAGCGGCCATGAATCGTACCCGAATCGTACCCGAAGGGATTCAGGAATCTCGTGACATAGTTCTAACTATTATACTTCTCTATTAGGGAGGGAGAGTTTCTAGGTGTTGCGATGTAGGTATCTAAAAATATTGATCTATTAATCTAGTCTAACTAATTTATGAGCTGTGACTACTAGATTTTGAATTTATGTAGGAAAAAGGCTAGTAAATAGATAGATATTTATATTTATTATCTCTATAAATAGCTAAGGAGTAGATTAAAGCTATTCTTTATTTTACGATAGGAGATCTAGATATAGTAAGATAAGTATATTATAGTAGGTAATATAAATACTTACTATACTATATAGAGAGATATAGAAGTAAGAATTATATCTATAGGTAAAGATTTTATTGTAATTATAGATGAATTAGAAATAGAGATAATTATAGAGAAGGGTATAACAATATAGAAGTAGTAATATAGTGAGGAAGTATAATTATCTATTTTAGATCTTATATATATTAGTAGGAGTCTTGTTAACTGGCTTGTTGCCTATAGGCTTGCGGATGATATTGAATATGGCTTAGATTATTGGCTGATACGGATGCTTTTGGACGTCGAAATCCCTTCGTTTATGTTGTAAAAGTTTAGGAACTGGTAAGTTATAGATACTGAAAAACTTACTAAGTTTATTACCGAAAACATGTAACTCCGGCTACTGAAACGGGCTACCGTGAACCGGCTGGGGTTGGAATTTAGTGTATTTCTGCGGGTGATCCACGCTGTGATCGAGGAGTGTGTCCCCTGGAATTAAGATTAATTACTTATTACTCTATAGGTCTTATTACATACTACTTTCCCTATTTATTTTTAGATACTTCTAGGAGTATTTCTTTTTATTTGTTATCATATATTAGTTATAATAGAAAGTTCTAAGGAAATAATTATATATAATAACTTTAAGAACTACACTATCTATTTATATTAGCTAGTTATTATTCTATAAATCTTACTATAGACTAATTGACGCCAAGAGTAAGGCATGTCAGCGTGAGAAGGACGTTCTTGATACCAAACTTCAGACCTGCTCTCGGGAGAGGGATGGGCTAGACACGGAGAAAAAGTCTTGCAAACGGGAGAAGGACAAGCTAGATATTAAGAAAAAGACTTGTCAGCAGCGGGAGAAAGATGAACTAGATGCCAACTGGAAGGCCAAGTATGAAAGCCAATGATAGGTCGCTTATCTATTGTCCTTTGGAAGATATATGAGTGAAGCTCATCACATCACAGGGGCTCTCCTGAAGCCAAGCCTCTATGGACTTTGTAAGGTTGTTCTACACTGAAGTCTCCAGGGACATTGGAATTGAACTAACTGGGAACTAAGCTCTTGTTGTGATATAAGGTTGGTGCAGATCAGGAACCAAGCCGCATCATCGGAATTAAGTCCTGAGATATCTATACGAAGCATCAAGTTGATTTCCAATCAACTTCCAATCAACTTGGTCTTCTTGCTGTATATATAGCTTCATCTATTCCTTCTGAAATCCCCATGATATTAGGAAAATTCCCTGGAGTTGGTACAGTACTTCCAGAAATCAGTGTCACCATCATTTTTTTCTCCAGCCACAGTGCCAAGAATTGCTAAATTACCTCGGGACCGTTCCGAAATAATATCTCCAGTGGAGCCTTTGTACCGTACGACACCGAATTAATTTATTACGCTGGCCTAAGTTTGTCACTTGTCACAGCTAGACAGCTGCAACCACGCCGCCCCACGTCATCATTCCCAATAACTATCCCCTCTCCGGAAATGGTGGATGCTGAAGTACGTGCTTACAAAGGCACGACCCCTCAATATCCCCTGCTCTCCTGACAAACCCTGGATAACTACTCACTCACTTTGCTAACATAACGGGTTGGCCTCTAAAATCAATATGAGCCGATATAGCCAGCAGTCGCTCGAACACATCTTCAAAAATAACAAGAAATGGGTCTTGTCGAAGAAGGGCGCGGACCCCGCCTTTTTTGACAAGCTTGCTGCAGGGCAATCACCTGACTACCTGTGAGCTAAGGATTCATTCCCATCGTCAAAATGGTCACCATTTAATTCATCTGACGATATCCAGATACATAGGCTGTAGCGATAGCCGTGTTCCTGCCAACGAGATTATGGGTCTGGAGGCTGGCGAGGTTTTCGTTCACCGTAATATCGCCAATCTAGTACCCAATGTCGACCTTAACGTCATGTCCGTGATCAACTATGCTGTGCGGCACTTGCAGGTCAAACACATCATTGTGTGCGGCCACTACAATTGTGGAGGAGTCAAAGCGGCATTAACACCGGCTGACTTGGGGTTACTTAACCCATGGCTCCGAAACATTCGCGACGTGTATCGCCTGCATGAGAAGGAACTGGACGAAATAGCTGACGAAAGCTCGAGATATAATCGATTGATCGAGCTCAATGTGGTGGAATCCTGCAGGAATATCATCAAGACCGCTGCTGTCCAGCAAAGCTACCGAGATTATCAGTTTCCCATCGTTCATGGATGGGTTTTTGATCTACGCGACGGTCTACTCAAAGACCTCAAGATCGATTTTGAGGGGTTGTTGGAGGAGGTGAAGAAGATCTATAGTCTGTCGTCGGATCTCAATCGCAAGTAATCAAAGCCACAATCTTCAAGTGCTAGCCCACATTAAGCTCCCCAAAATCTTAAACACTAAGGCATAAATAGATTATAAGCATCAGTTCTCAACCAAAACGGAGCTAATCTTTTGGATTGTCTTCTAATTCTAAGCCATATGCTGAGAGTTTCGCAGACCTTCCAACACCCGATAGGCCTTGTCAGCTTTTGTGTCATATACCAGCCCATGGATTTGCAAGTGCCTCTTCCTAATCGCATCGGTTACTTCAGTAAATTTGCGTAACGAACGCAATTGATCAAGAATGTTTAACTCGACAAAACAGCGATCACGTTCTATCACCGGGGCTTTATTGATGTCTTCTTCGTGCGCAGCATAGAGAGAATTGAGCTTGCTATAATGACCGTTAATCAGTGACCATGTGAATATCTTAGGTAGAGACAGGTCACTTACCACAACCACGGACCATTTAACCCATCTCTTGAAGCTGCTTTCACGATGCCACACCCATAATGGCCGCAAACTACGATATGTCTCACCTTTATAGTGTTAACACAAACGAATTATGAAGCTGTTCGAGATCAATGGCTACCTGGAGGTCAACGACAGCATGTTTTATCGCAGTCTCGGAGGACAGGTCGCCATCAATGATCATATTGCCAATATTTCTAAGCACGAGTAGCTCGCCGCCAAGAAGATTGAAGACGCAGGATTCCCTGAGATCGCTATCGGAGCATCCAATCCAAAGCACTTGTTGAGTTGCCTGATGAAGGCTTGGGATGTAGTTTGCCTCAAGAGGCTCAGTTGTCACCCTGCTGAGTCGTGTTTCGCTCATGATAGAAGGTCCCAAAGGGTGAGCAGTGATGCTATGGTATGCTCTCGGAAAGAGCCGTCGGGTCGTGGATAGTAGAAAGGTATTTTGCCAAGTTGCAACAAGAATTCGACGGCAAAACATTAATGACGGCTAGTGAAAACCTTTGAAGGTTCACCAGAGTGGGCTTCTGTCATAAAAATTCAAATACTGTACTGGTCAGCGAGTTAGGAGTCCTTCCCAAAGGTTTTCAACCGCTCACTTTGTATGTGCTCCGTACCTTTTCAACAAGAGGAAAAAGGCTTGGCCGAAATGTGCTTATTTGATGTAATCCAGCAGCCAATTAGAGTTTGATCGTCGCTCACAGATCGGCATAGACACGAGTAAGTATGGTGGTGTGGGCCACGCAGGCTCTAATCATTGGTTGAACAGCCGCAACAGCTTTTTGGCTCCGAGAAACTGCCGTTTCGGCCGAAACATCGTCCCGGCGCCTGTGGTATGCATGGGGCACGGACAAGGTGCCGCCACCCCAAAGGTTACAACCACACGAACCGGTTTGTAAAGACCCCCTTACGTTTATACAAGGACTGAGTAAAAAGGATAAGATTTACTGGATTTTCAGCAACCCTTGGGTCTAAATGGGGTAAATAAAACGATGTTGTGAATGATATCTGCTAACAGTCTACTTCAATCAAACATGCAATCATTAAATATATCAGCAATACGCCGGTGCGTTTCATGGTCCGGTAGATCAGAATGCCTCCAAAACTACTTTATCACGAAATACCGAACTTCCGGGAACTGGGCACACGTGACTAGCTAACCTCGTGAGTATTCCTGTGCTTGAACTTTCTTTTGTTTTAGATTCCAAATTCGAGTCAAGTTCCTGCTATTTGTCCCTTCGTCGTTTCCGTGAAAACATTCTTCGATTCAGGGTTTAAGATATATTCATCCAAGTTTATCCCATCAGGTCCCTAGGTAATTGTCGTCACATTCATAAGTCTTTCCGTTGACATCCATTAATAAGCTGCAGCCAGCACAACCAACCAATTTGATCTTCCAGGGCTCCGCCTTTGCATCAGGCGAATACTATGATTATAACTCGCGGGTTTTCTCTAACGAACTTTGTGATTGCAAGCTCGGCCTTTTGCTTCCAAGTTTGTGTCCTGTACCCTTGGCATCACAAATTAGAGGATGAATTCAAACAACTCAAGGCCGAGCATCTCCAGCTATTGCAGGAGGGCGAGGAGCACCGACTGAAGGAGTTAAGGAACATTCGGGAACATCTTAGCCTCCTAAGCACTAAGAAGGATTAGAGGCCCAATAGTTTCAAATTGTTAAAAGATTTTTGGCCTCTTAGAAGATACTTAGAAAACAGAAGTATGCGGCATTGAAGGAGATGGATATAAGCGTTGTATTACCTGCGCAAACCTAGATTATTTTGGATGAACATCGCTTGATGCATTTAAGTCATATATGAAATCTTCAAATTCGATCACGCGCTTAAGCTCCTCGAGCTCAAATATTTCTATAATATTATGCAAGATGTATAGCATCGAGTATTATCTACCTACCAACAAATGAAACTAGCGCAGGGAATTATGAAGAGAAGGATAGTTGATAGAGAATTAAACTGCGGACTATTGAAGGTAAAAAGTTATTGCTTTGCTCTTGTGTATCCGATATCCTCCCAGGTCTCCAGAAGGCTAGACATGCCGTTTTGGACGCTGGGAAGGTCTTTGCGGAATGAAGACAGCATGCCTTCTTGGCCGGCACAACGATTAAGTAAATACCCATTTTTCTGGCGTTCTCGCCGAAGGAGCCTTTCCATCAGCGTGTTCATTCTCTCCAGCCGCTGATTCTCTTTCTGGCAGGCTGTGAAACGTGCCTCTATTTTTTGGCAATGTCTCACCATATGTGTGGCCTGTGCCTTGAGTTGAAGGCTCTCTTCTCTCAAGGTCTGAATTTCTAGTGCCAATCCACTGAATGAGACGTGCACATGTGCTTCGACACATTCTGACCACTGGTCAATTTGCCCCTGCTTCTATTTCCCGAATAATTAGCTCCCGTCGAATTCTAAGATAAAGAATTGCTGAATTTACGTTGACTGGAGAAAGTCGCTGCGATGAAGAAGTCCCGTAACAAGGACTCTTGTCTGAGTATATCTCGGGTGAAACGTCCCTCTTCCCTTTTCCTAGCTGTTGCTGTTTGGATGACGGAGAATTCATGATATGTATTAAAAAATGAAGGTGTAAAGATTGGAAAGGAGCTATCTTGTCATAAGCTGGCGTATTCAGTATTTATCTAGATATGGTTTTTGTATCTCCTGCAAGAGACGAGTCATGTCCCGCGTAAGTTACGTATCATTTCGCGCGCAGGATCCTCAAAACCTGATGCCAATCCTGCAGTTCCGGTGTACATAACTCGGGATTGCTTCCAATTAGAACTGCTGCAGCGCATCCGGGGATTCCCTGCAATTTTGGTTCCAAATACTAAAAAATGCGGGTATATAGTATAAAGTTAAACTGAGCTCCTTCGGCTCCGACATCACCGAATCGAAAAGTCACTCGGTCCCTAAAATTGAAAACTCTAATAATTCAATTAGATGGCGGCATCCACGCAGCCCTTTGTTCAAATCTTGCACAAGGCAAGCACTACCCGTTTTGCTAAATAGCAATGTTCGCAACTTCATAATTATCAATGAAGTCATGTGAGACGCGAGTTCAAGGGCTACCGTTGGGTTAAAAGACGGGTGCGGATGCCCAGAAAATAGATGAAATAGAACTATGTATATGAAAAAGGTCGGAATAAAGTCGGTCTTACTGATAAATTGAGAAGGATAGCTGTCTTCATGCCGGGTCTTCCCAGCTAACCCATTGCTGACGGGACAGACCGATTAAGATCATCATTTGGCCCACATTTGTTACGTATCGGAGGTCGATCGCATCGGTTTAACCCCAAGAGATAACATGAACGGCGGCGAGGCGCGACAAAGATGACTGGTCTCGTCTAGCGTGTAACGCTCATACACTCTACGAGACAGCTATATGTAAATTATGATCATAATGTTCTGTATTCACCACCGGCGGAAACAAAAGCATGTTGGTGGTGACACCAAGTTCTGGAAGTACTGTATCAAAATTTGGCAGCTATGCGCTGATGCATGCAAGAGAGATTCAACATGTAAAGCTTCAGTTTCGGTTTATGGTGAAGGTATATGCTACAAATCCAGAACTCCTCCCGGAGATTTTACGACAAAGGATCTTCAAGACAGTATCGGTGGAAAGTATGGTTCCTATGGCAAATAGACTGGAGGCAACTCCCGGCCGGAATGAGGCTTCAGTGGACATGGCAAGACGAGATTCAGGATCGCTTACAGTAGTATTCGAAATCAGATTTACCTCTACACTCTTTGATCTTAATTCCCGAACCTTAGCTTGAAACACGCTAATCCAGAATATAGTAATTACATCGATCCCCTGGTTCTTAATTAAAATAGGAACCGTATTTTACATGACGCGCCGGGACCTACCTCCCTTAGTGTAATTTACACGAAACTCCTCTACGTATGATACCACTCTACCCCCTTCTTCTCCCCTAGTACCTAGCAACGAGGATCATCCTCTATACACAACTCTTAAGCGCGCATCCTACGTTAAGCTAGCAATATGGCTCCAAGGCTTCTCCTCTTAAAGCTGCATCTTATCCACAATATAAAAGAGAGCCAGTCACTAACCATAACTCAAATGGCCGAAGAAGCTGCAGCAAGGTCACGATTATAGATATTCACAGAAACTTGCGGCAGTTCGGCAACATGTACGTATCCCTAACTCGCATAGGTCGCAAACCAACGGTAATACCGCTAATAATCGACGCGCTCTGCGACTACCTGTCGGCAAAACCGGGCCTATACCTTGATGAGATGGCTGTCTTCCTCTGGGATAAGTTTTGTACTATAATCACAACCTCTAGCATTATAAAAGTCCTTATCGCCAAAGGTTAGTCTAAAAAGACGGCCCGACAGTATGCAAAGGAGCGTATTGCCGATTTGCGAGAATTTAATCTCTATAATTATATATTAAAAATAAAAGAGAGCTGTACTAGTGGACAACATGCTATATAATGCGAAATTAAGAGTAAATTTAGATCCGATATCTTTTGTTGTAAGCCCTAGACCGGATTGGTCGGTGGCTAGACTGGTGAGCGGTCCTTTCGGATTGTCGATCGTCTTGCTTACTTGCAGCACGTTGTCTATCTTCCAGTACTCGGCGGCTAGAGTCGCTTGTACGCGTATTCTTAGAGTAGGAGGACTCCTGGAAGTGGACCTTGGGCCGACAGGTGGAGCCACTAGTAATGTTCAACTGTATAGCTCCTTGATTACCCATACGAATATTAATGGACTTGCTAGCCAAGCTTTCCTCGGAAAATCTAAGTGTCATTCTATTTATGGTGATGGTTATATTCTGATTTTCTACCTAAGAGCGCTCTTATAAATTTTGAGTATTTAATATAGTAATAACCTAGATACGCCGGAACTTTTGGAGGTTCTTTAATATATTCTCTAGGGGTTTCCTTATATAGGTATAGTCAGCAATGTCGGGTACTATTGCATTTTGCTCAATAACTTCCTTAATACAACAACAAACAGTGCCACAGGTAATGCTACTAGGGTTAATATTAGGACTTCGAATGCATAACTTTCAGCTTACTAAATGATATCCTTTCCAGCTGACTCTTAGTGCTCTATGTGATATCGAGGGCATGTAGTGCTGGGCTACCTTTGCTGCTGCTTGAAGATCATGCTTATGACAACTCTCTATCCTGGATAGAAACAATTCTCCCATAGCCCTGTGAGATTAATCGGGTTCTGTGTCCCCAACTCTTTAATAGCGAATTCGCCTCCACCGATATAGCTGGACCACATCCTAAGCTTTTAAGATTGATTTTAAGCATAGCCAGTAACGCCTCAGGTAACCTCACAAACTCTAGGTGAAATAGACTTTCTCTATTCAAGGGATTAGTGAGATAAATTGGTTGTTGTCTTTGAATTTGTCCCAGAATCTTGAGAATGGCCAACTGGATATCATGCACGATCTCAAAGACACGCAAATTGGTTTAAACGATTTGAGTACTCGATTCGAGGGGCGCTTTCCCTTCCTGAATGCTCTCTGCTAGGTGCCTGGTGATCGTACTCAGCTGACCCATGACTTTGCATAAGAAGTCCTGAATTCAGCTGGCGAGCCCTTTATGCTGTACAATATACGTTTGATTCTGGGCTGTCGTCATTTCCATCTGCACAGTAAACAACAAGATTTGAATGCTCGATGTATGGGCCCTGATCTCGGCACGAAATTTGTCCACATCGTCCTTTTTACATATCGTCCACTTGATTTTCATCAATTATATCATTTATCCTCGAGTCCGTTCCACCTTGTTGTAGATGAACTTGGTACTTCTGGATATTCTTATAAAACTCGGTAATTGTGAGCTGACATTGTGACGTAGCTTGGTGTAGTGCAGTCAGATTAATCTGATTGATACTAGTATCGAGACGCTTAACGTGTAATAGTGCCGATTCCAGATATAGTAGACTTATATACAGTAGTATTATAATTCAACCTGTCCGCCCTATCCGTTAGTATAGTGTCTAGTTTAACAATTTCGTGCCAAAAGTCCATAGGTCAAAATCCCATATGAATCGTTTCTACCGTAAATTTATAAGGGGGTTTGTATTTAACTGTAGTCAGCAAAGTATTGGTTCCACCATCAATACGGTGGATGCAGAATTAGTTGGGTCTAGATAGCCGGGTGCTTGTGTCCGACCGTTCAGTTTCATCCAACGCATTCGTAGGTTGTCAAACCAAAAACCATCACCAAGCCCAAATTCTTCTTAGGCCGCCGGTATATTGCACAGCTTCGAGATTATATCACACACATAATCTTCAACAGCAAACCGCTTATAACTTTCAAGATCTTGCTCACTATTAATCGGTCGAAGAGCGGATCGCCGACCCAGACCTTCTAGTTCAACCAAGGAGGCAAATAACTGCGGAGAACTATCCTCAGAGGGTTGTAAGTAGCGACAAACCGACACGTAAATTTCTCGTTGTATTGAAACATAATCTGTCCATGGACGTAGTTTAATGGGACAGTATTTTCCGGCAGGAGAGGGAATAGACCCTGTTGTAGAGCGATAAGGGTCTTCGACTGTGAGCGGCTGCCAAAGGAGATTGTGGCAACGTCGGATAAACTCTCCAAAAGTCGTCGGCCGGTTGCGCTCCCTCTCCTGTCTCTCTCTTGACTCTGCCTGTCTTCTTAGCTCTGCTTCCTTAAAAAAAGGGGCCTTAAAGTCTGGGGAGCTCATCACGAGCTTGATAGAGGAATGAGTGAACCCTTATTGGCATAGTCAGGCCCATTATTCTCTCTGGGCGGTGTGGAATTGGCAGAATTTGTCGTTCTTTAGGGAACCTCGCCTATTCAAAGTTTCTGGCTGGTTTCTCCATGCATCAAACACTTGATAGTGGAATAGAGACCTGTTTAAATGGGAAAAGTGTGGTCATTTTTGGGGACTTGGAATCTTTGGAAGAGCTTTGTTGCTCCCAGGTTTACAGGTACAGTTCCCAGAGGCAGTCGTAGGAGCCCCTAGAATTGGTTGGAACTCCCACGGCGTTGGCTCCGCCAAGGGTAGCGAGCGGTAATAATGATGGGCTCAGTATTTTGAGGGAACTACTAGTTATTGGTGGGGCATGGCGAGGCTCGATGGAAATAGAACGATAGTATCAAATGAACTCAGTACCCTCATAACAATAGTAATTGGCGGAGCAATTCAACTCAGTGACACTCTATTTAATCCCAGAGAACCTACAGCTGTCTTCAGGAACTATGTATTTGATTTCAGGAGCAACCAAGCTCCTGGGAACAAGCAATAATGTTCCCAGAGACACCTCCGTCAACCCCAGATACGGCTTATAAGGCATTGAGGTGGATCTCGCAGTAGCTGAAATACATTCATTGGACCTAAGAGTAAATTTTTCTTTCCCAAATACAGTGTTCTGCACGGCCCTTATCTCTCTTAGCGCTTACAAGCGAGCATAAAGCTATCTAGCTAGCACTTGGTAATTAGACGTGATCAATTGAACTTCTGTTTCACCTAGCGCCTATAGAGTAGTATTAAAAATTGCAAGGGGATTTTAGAAATGATCTCTTAAAAGATTATGTTCGGCCTGAAACTATATTTGGAGATGGTGGAGCCCTGTCAATCAGCTAAGTTTCATAATACGCATAGATGACTAAAACCAAGGCTTGACACTCAATTAATTAGCGCCTTGATCTCGTTTTGTGCATCTTGCATCACGCTAGCCCTTATTTTAATGCGCAGGCGCTTTAGGTCGAGAGATAATTTGCTGAACATATTGAACGAAAACTTCAATTCCAATCACACGAAACAAGGTAGGCGCATACTCTTTATTGTATTTTGTGACCTTTCGGAGGGCTGTCATATAAATATAGCTATCGTTCTCCATTGGAAACATTACTTTTTGACGCATCCTCCCCAAGAATCCAAGAATTTACAACACAAACCAGGTATCTTGTTTACGCCTCGAATTGCCAAGGCACCAGGCTAATTAAATGCCCAGAACTATTCACTCATGGCATACGAGCTGTCTATAGAGATATTCGGAACAGGCGAGGACCCCCAGCACCGGTCTCATTGGGGATTTGTGATTCATAGGCCCTCAAGCCTTGTTGGCGACCTACTCCATGTCAAAGTGATCGATCTCGACAGACTATGGTACCAATTCGAACCGAGAATGAATACCCCACTGCGCACCATGCAGGCCGTTGGCAAGATCAAACTTGGCGATCTTAATGAACAGCAGCGTCAACATGCCATCCAAGTTATTACATCTTCCCCTGCACCAAGGGATGGGAAAAAAGATGCCAGGATTGGGTTTATGACACCCTGCTGTCACTTGAGGTTGAAGAGCTTGTTCCGTCTGGCACATGCCATATCTGGAAGGGGATGGTTGGGAAGTCGGCACGAGCTGTTCAGGCAACACCAGGCGTCAATTGGATGAGTCTGAAATGAAGGTATCATGTGTATTTAGCTCAGATCCCAGTATAATCTAACATGGATTGATTGACTTCAGCCCAAAATTCGTACTCATCGGTATCGAGTATCGTGGATATAAGATCCCTCCACTCTGGATCCAACGCTTGCCACCGCAAACAAAAATATTCCCTTGCCGATATACTATAGCCAGCTGCGCCCCAGTCTATGATTCCGGTGACGATATTACCGTTTACAATAATGTTGCTTTGATGCAAATCACCATGCGTGAGCACCTTCCTCTCATCCTGATCACCAGAGACAAGGATTTTCTCCAAGAGAGGCTCATCTCTTTTCATGAGCTGCGCATTAGGTCTGGAGTAACGGATAGCCTCCACCACTCCTTGATTGAATTCCTTTCTTGTTAAGAAGGGTCCATAGTGCCGAGATTTTGCATCCCATGAATGCTGGAAAAGAATATCTTCGCATGGACCACCATCAATAGATCCGAAGTAAGGCCCTTCAATTCGGCGCCACTCATAAATAAAGCTTTGAAGCTGTCGGATGATAGAAATTTTGGAGTCCCGAGTCAAACTTTGCCAGCAATGTTCCAGTGTGACCCCTGGAATTTTCGACATTAAAATAAATCCGATATCGCCGATGGTATAAGCATTGAAGACTTCAGGGACGGGAACTGACGTCTGTTCCCTCAGGAGACAGAGCGCCTCTGCTTCTCCCATCTTAACCATAGGCCCGACTTTCAAAATAACCGATGCGTGAATCTCCAAAATTTTGCAGCCTCCCATGCTATGAGGACATAGATCTTTGGCATTTTGAATCTCTTCCAGTGTCACAATCGGAGGCTTGTGTCTCATAAAGTCAGGAAACAGTATTTCGACATTGGTTGAGAGAATATAGGGAATATGGTTGAACAAATCCCATTTCGAGGGCTGTCAAAGCGTTAGAATGCTCACATGTTCACCCTGAAAAAGGATGCACGTACGGAATTTTTGGTGAGAAGATCCTCATCCATTTATGGTATTGCCTTTGGGGGGGGCGCTTATATATGGAGATCTTCTCCTTGAGTCTATTAAGCGAACACTCCAAATATTGTAGAGGGAAAAGGGAAAAGGATCTGGGCAATTGTTAGTGGAATTGAGAAAGTTGAAGTGTTGAATATCCGTCGATGATTTGTAGGTTCCGCTTTGTGGATTTGTGGCTTGGTATGTTTGTTTCATTTGCACTTCTAGGACCTGATTTGGAACTGGACGCTTCGAAAACAGTGTGGACTTTGGAGATATAACCGAGCTCTAGGTCAAAATGGATAGATCACTTTGTACTTTCTAACAAGGGTACAGTAATAATCAGGCTTGACGTACAAAGGAGAACCCATTTTTTGACTAACTAAGGCATATTGATTAATAAGCCTGAAGGTTCTCACTGGCTGATGGTATGCATCGGCTATTCGTTGTGTACCGATACTTCTGCATGGCAGCCAACACGTCACCGTTTTGATTGGCTTGAAGACGAAGGTAAGGCGAAATCAGGCCAGCGATGTCATATAATTGCCCGGGCAATTAAATCGTACCCACTGCATTGAACCCTCCTCTAAGAATAGCCTTCTGCGCCCCGATCTCAGGCATGACCATCACATCATCACACTGCATACTCACTATTTTCTTATGGCCAACGAGGACGCCTCAATGCTCAAAGTTTGCTTATCCTTAAATATTCTCAAAATCTGTGCTTCAGCAATATTTCTCTGACTAGCCGAGCCGAGCATCTTGGGACTGCACCTGCCTTCTGAGCGTTTCTCCTGTGACAAAACGCTTCAAATTGTGGCGAAGTGCAGATACTAAGAGATCCGTTGTTTCAGGGGGAGGCATTTGGCCCAATAATATCTTGCGACGGCTCAGCTGAAAGGGTCAGTGCGAGGTCGCACGATACAGGGTGATAATTAGACCTGTGCACAACCCATCTGACCCATGGGTTCCTATGGGAATTCCCACTTAGTAAGTAGGAATTCCTACTTATATAATTCCCATAGGAGTAGAGTAATAGGAAATGGGAGTAATCTCACACCTATAGGAATCCTATAGGAATACACTAGCTATATAGGGCTAGTATTATAAACTTATATAAAATCATTATATTTAAAGCTATTCTAGTTATATATTACCTAATATCTATAGAGGTATAGATATTAGAATACTATTATTAGTATATAATCTACAATAATAAGGGAACTTTATAAATTCTATACTAGTAAGTATTTAATATATTAATAGTAATAGATAGCTAATACTAGATAATATATTTTTATAATATATTATAAATATAAAGAAATAATAAGGAAATAATAGGAGAAAACAAGAGAAGTATTATAAGATATAGATTATTAAATTAACTAATTAACTAATTCTAGTTACCCTTATAAAAATCCTGGGTTTTTCGAGTCTATTTAGACAATTATATATAGACCTTAGAATTAGATAGCTTATCACTATTATTAGAAAATATTATATTATATATACTATCTATATATAGTCTTTTAGCTATTTCTTAACTAGTTAAAAGTAAATAAGAGGTTAAATAAGGAAAAGTAGATATAGTTTTATCTAGATAGCTATCTAGATCCTTCTTATTACTAATCAAACTCTCTAGCTTAAAAGCCTTATTACTCTAGATTTCTAAGGAGCTAGTACTAATAAGTTTATTAGTAAAATAATAGTAATCAACTAGCAAATCAAATCTTAATATATATATATATATTATCAGATTACTAATTATATTCTCTTTTAAAGATCTATATCAATAATAATAAATATCACAAATATAATTAAATATTCTTTTAACCCTAGCCCCTATTATAAGGATTAATAAAGTATTATAAACTATTTAAGTAAGAATTAGATATTCTTTTTGATATTTATACTAAAAAATAAGTAGATCTATCTCTATTATACTATTCTTTAGATAATTCTTAATCTTATTTAATTAATTAATTCTTCTAGCTTAATTCTAAGAGTATAGTAGATTATCTAAAAATAAGCTTTATTAAGCTAGTAGTTTATTAAATATTAATAATAAGATATATCTTATACTATAACTCTAATATTCTTATATAAGAATATTATAGTATATTTCTTAAGAGCTTAGCTTAAAGTATTAAAACTAATAATTTAGTACTAAGATTATAGTAATACTATATAGATTTCTCTCTAATCTATATAACTTATTTTAATAACCTTATAACTTCTTATAACTTTTTTTAAGAGCCTAAAGAACTACTTATTTCTATAGAATTTACTTAATAAGTAAATAAAATTAAGCCTTCTCTAGATATTCTAAAAGAGCTTTATAAATATTAAAGATCTAGTAAATTATAGCTAATTTAGAGGTTAATAAAGTATTTATAAAATTAAAGAAAGGTTTAGTTAGATAAAGAAGATAATTAACTTATTACTATTAATTAAATATTAGCTAGAACTTCCTATATCTCCCTTAATTATAGTATAAATTAATAAAGTTTTCAATATATTTTATCTATAAAAATATTAGAAATATTAAATTCTATTAAGTTTAAATATCTTATACTAAAAAAAGTTTCTTTAAATCTTAGATATTCTTAAAGATCTTTCAATATTATAGACTTATATAAATAAAAACTATAAATTATTAGAGCTAAGATACTATTAATAAATAAAGAATATAGATAGAAATAGAGAGTATTTACTACCTTTATAAGGATTCTAAGGATCTTATCTTATTCAGAATTATTAATTATTTAATTAGTTAAATCAGACCAAACCTTTTTTATAATCTTATTTAATAGTCTTAGTTTTAAGTTATCTAAAAGACTAGTTAAATAGAGCTAAATAATATATATAATATATAGAATTCGAGAAAGATTAGTATTTATCCTAGTTTTATATAGATATTAGTAGAGAGTCCTATTATTAAAAGTATTATTAGTAATAATATCTAGTATTCTATAGAATATATTAAACTTTCTTAGAATTTCTATTATTTTCTTTCCTAGATTTAGACTAATATAGACTCCTTTAATAGCTTTAAAACTAAGAAGAATCTTATAAAAGACCTAAAAATTATTAATAAAATACCCTATAACTATAAGAAATACCTACTAGAATAGAGATATCTAATAATCTAGAGTAATCAATATCTTTATATTTACTAGTAAGTTAATTAAGATAGATTATTTAGTCTCTATAATAATATCCTTAAGATATTATATAATAGTAGTTTAAATTAGAATAGAAGATAGAATAGGAGATAATTAAGTATAGTTAATAACTTCTTAGAAATCTAGATACTTAAGAATTTAGAAAAAGATCTTCAACCCTAAAATAAACTTTAAGAGTACCTTATACTAGCTATCTTTTTTAAAATATAGTTTTTTAAGACCTTTAGATCTCTAGGATTGAATATATAGAGATTAGTCTATAAAAAAGTATTAAATTAATAGGGGTTTAGCTTATACTATCTTAGAAGGTAATAGTAATTATAGATTAAGTATATTATAATAGATTCTATATATTTCTTTAATATAATACTAAAGTATAATAATATATAAGACTAGAGGTACTAGTAAACTATCTATTAAGACTCTAATTTAGATAAACTAGTCTTATACTATACTACTTATATAATACTATTAGTAAGCCTGATTTCTTATATACTATCTACTAGAATCTCTTCTATTTAGAAGATATAAGTTTAGTTAACTAGTTATAAGGTTTTTAGCTATTAGAAAGCTAATTCTAGTTCCTATATTCTATAGTAATCTACTATTTAACAAACTCTTACTAGTTTTCTATTATATAAAGAATAAACTATGAAAGCTCTAAGACTCCTATATATTTTAAAGTAAAAGAAGTAGGTTCGTCTAGCTGAATAGATAATATATCTATAAATTAACTACTAGTAAAATCAAATAATCCGCTATAATAAGATACTATTTTACTATAAAAACCTAAGGAATCTATTAATAGATTACTATCACAGTGTAGATCCTT